TGTTGTCTATTAACAATAATTTATACCATCGGGTTGCTACATATGCCCTGGACACATCTAAACTGTTGATATTAAATTTGAATTAGTCCATACTTTTTATATCTGGCTATCTTAAATTTATCCTACATAAGTCATACTTCTAAATTATTTTTTTATTCCATATTTTTCTTTTTTAAAATAAACATACTTTTACAAAAAAGTTGTCTAACCACTCGTGTGTCTGCAGGTTAAATCTAGATGGTATAAATATGATGTTTACTACCCCAAAGCAGTAAGAAAAGTCCCATAATGAAACAATTGCATGTTGAGAATGGCTTAGTTAACAATTAAGCTCCATAATTAATTACCTGAGCTGATAATAATTAAAGTCCGAATGTTATGTTTAATTAATTATTAAATAAGCAGGTTCAATGGTGAAGATTTCTTGGAGAGAATGAGAGGCAAAAGTATAATGTTGTGGGATTCGTTGCTGGGTTGATCTCAATGGTTTTAAATGAAGTCAAATAAGTCAATGCATGTTTAGTTCAATCTGTTTGATGATCTTCTCTTATATAAATTGGAATCATAATTATTGATGTTCAATCTTCATGATTTGTCTTGAATGTGCCTCAATATACACCATGTCAGGACGACTTCTCTCCACCTTCATTTCTTGGTTAGATCTCTTTCCCTTTTCTTATCTCAATCAAATATTGGTTCACAACTTCTCAATGTGTGTGATATTATAAATGCATTCGGTGTAGAAATTTTTTTTATATCGAATCTAAAACGGTGTGAAAAGTTCAAATGCAAAACCAGTAAATAGAAAACCTTTTTAATAAAAGGCCTTTGTACACGGGAGTCCATTTTAATCACAAGTTTATATTTAATTAATATGCTATCGGAAGAGCTACTTGAAAGAGAAGCCTTATAAGATCTTGGATTTCTCAACCCTAGTAGTTAGTTCTCGGGATGTGATTCTCTTAGAGACTTGCGCTTGCTACACAATATATCTTGAATACACGAGAGTATGTATTTTGTATGTATTTGATACTATCATATGATATTACTAAAATGTTATTAATATCGATTGAGGGCAGTTTTTTGAATGAGATTTTTTATCCATAAAGTTTGAAACAGAGACCCTATTTAAAAGAATTTGAGTCTTTTTCACTCAATCCAACCATCGTTGGTTTATATATACCCAAAGTAAATGTATATATACTAATAATTTTAGCTAGTACAATAGCCAATCAAGTAGGATTTTATAACATATCTTGTAATTAATTTTAATTGTGTAGGAGGATTGAGATATTGAGCTTAAGGGAGTTGAATATTGTTGATGCTAATTAAAAATATAGATATTATTAGAAAAGTATTGGTCAGGAGTCCATATCACAACTAGTTAGGTAGGCATAAAAGCAGAAGAAGCAGATTACCTTTTCCCCCTTTAAATACTCGACCAAAGGGACAAAGAGTTTAAAAAAAGTCCGTTAATTATTGATTAATTAGCATAACTACTAATCATTGCTTAAATATTAGATATTGTTATTATGTCATTGAACAGAGTCTGGTATCATCACCATTATCATCATTATACTACTCTGGTCCTAAATATAAGACTTCTTTTGTAGTGTAATTTACACTACAAAAGAGGTATTATATTTAGAGTCGGAGGAGTATTTTGTATGTATTTGATAATATCATATGATATTAGTAAAATCTTATTAACTTCGGTTGAGAGTAGTATTTTGAATGAGATTTTTTTATCTACAATGTTTAAAACAGATACCCTATTTAAAAGAATTTGAGTCTTCTTCACTCAATCCAACCATCGTTGGTTTATATATACACAAAGTAAACGTATATCTACTTACTTAATTTTTAGGTTATACAATATCCAATCAAGTAGGATTTTATAACATGGCTTGTAATTAATTTTAATTGTGTAGGAGAATTGAGATTAGAATTGGATTAGAAGTTTCATGGATGCATTATTGGACACGCAGTTTGTGATTGAGATGGCTCATCAGAATCCTCTTTAGTGACTATTCCAGTCTGGTGGGGCCTATATGTCAAGTAATTAACGTTATATATGTCGGTTTTGTAACACACACACACACACACACATATTTATATATAGGTGCTCGTTGATATTTGGATCTGGGTCACGAGTAACACAGTGAACTTATTACGCCTAAACTTCATAATTAGAGCCAACAACAAATTATATAAAATTTATCCTTTTGTTGCTTTTGAAGTTACCGGTAGACATTAAAAACTCGGGGTTACAAATAGGATTAAATTTAGGATTTTTCATTTATAAGGGAGCTTTCGTGTCATTAAGTTATGGGATGATTGACCTTGGGATTTGATGATTTTAAGTTGCATTGATTAAATTTTTACAGTGTGATGGGTAATAAAATGCAGGAGTATAATGTGAAGGTGATGATGAGTCGCAACGTATTTCTGGTGGACCTGGTTGAGGAAAGTATTGGTCGAGTATTGAAACTGGATTCCATTGAATCTGGCAATAAAGATTGGGAAGGCATTGATGTTTTGATTTTCGATTCTTGGCATTGGTGGCTTCATACCGGAAGGAAACAACCGTAAGTCTATACAAAACCCTATTTCTACGAAGCTCGATACCCTTTTCAAACCCCGTAAATAAAAAGGAAAAATATTAAGATCGGACAATGTTTGAATATAACCTGATCGTATCAAATACCAGATATAGTCACATATAACAAAGAGATGATCTCTTCCTTTATTTTATTTTATTTTTGTTTTTTTTGGCTATGTTGGCTTGTGTAATTATAAATTGTTAATTACTTTTTAACTGTAATTTGTGTCATATATGTGTGTATGTGTGTGTGAAGGTGGGATTTCATTCAAGAGGGGAATAAAACGTACAAGGATATGGATCGGTTGGTGGCATATGAGAAGGCATTGAAAACATGGACCAATTGGGTCGACAGCAACGTTGATCCTTCAAAAACTAAGGTTTTCTTTCAAGGCGTGTCTCCAGATCATATGGAGTAAGCAAGTAGTTATATACTTATTCGGTTCCTTAATATAAGACCCACTTTGTAGTACAAATTGTATTATAAAATGGGTCTTATATTAAGAACCGGGATGAATATATATGTTTTCTCCTGATCATTATGCATGTTGTTATGCATCAATCAATTCATTTAATTTACCATTGAATGAGCCTCTGCTAGACTTCGTTAAAAATATAAGAACAATTATTCGGTTTGAGATTACAGGCGAAACCGCTAATTCTTATACAAGAAAGCTAACTTTCATGCCATTAAATAATAAGGACATTTATTTTTGTGATACTACCTTCTATCATTAGTATAAGAGCTAGTTAACTAATTTGAATAGATTAAGAAAATTAGTTAAGTTAGTAATTTATAATAAATAAGTATTGTTTTTTTACAATATTCTTGCTAATCAAGTGTATTAGCTAGAGCTACCATTATTATAAGGATTATCTCGAGAAAAAATGGATAAATATGAGAAATAAAGTGGATTGAGATCTTATAATTAGAATAAAAAAATTAAACTAATTAATATGAGAGACAAAGTGGATTGAGATCTTATAATTAGAATAAAAAAATTAAACTAATTATTATATTTAATTACATTCTATGCATGCATTTTACATTTAGCACGATCAACACTTTAGAATTTTTTTAACAAAAAAGAAAAAAGAAAAATTAAAGAGGGGTCCCTTGATTATGGCCCAATAAAAATTATGGGCCTCTTTTTTGCATGTACATGTGGGTGCATATATATTCCGTTTGCGAAATAATGACATTCACACACACAACTTTACCAGGTTCGATTTCTTAAATTATTTTTGTCTAAAGTGAAAAGGGATATAACCATACCTGTGGGCCCCGCTTTTATGAGATTCACTAGGTAAAAAAGTGAGAGGCCTATTATTATGCTGCGTTTATGTCTCTCTTTTTTGCTTAATTACATTATGATAACGTTGTAATTGAATTTTAGCGGAAAGGAATGGGGAGAAGTAAGAGCAAAGTCATGTGCAAATGAAGAGAGGCCACTGGAAGGACACAAGAAGTATCCAGGAGGAAGCCACCCAACAGAGTTAGTGGTAGAGAGAGTTCTGAAAGAAATGTCAAACCCTAATTTAGTTTATCTGCTCAACATCACCACTTTCTCTCAGCTCCGAAAAGACGGCCACCCTTCCGTCTACGGCCACGGTGGCCACCGTGGCATGGACTGTACCCACTGGTGCCTCCCCGGTGTTCCTGATACTTGGAATCAACTCTTGTATGCTGCCCTCGTCTACCAAAATTATCATTATTTAATATAATTCATTCATATTTCTATCTATATATCAAAAGAAATTTTTACATATATATATTTCTGATTGTATTTTTCTCCTTTTTTTTTAAATTTTCTTCATTGAATTCGTGTGTTTGTTCGACTTAATTCTGAAGGTGAAATTGCTCGACTTTAATTTTCTTTATTTTCTCTCTGAATAATCACTTTCTCATCAAATTAATGTTATTGCCTTTTTAATTTAGTCTTCTAATCAAAATAATCCCTTGAAAGAGAGAATGCATAAATTGTTGATGCTTCGTAAAAGAATAATTTCAATCGGAACAAAATGTTGAGATTAAATTGCGACGTTTTCTCACAAATGCTTTAATTTGATTTGCTTATTTTTATAAATTATTTCTTCATTTTTATAATTAGCGGACATATATTCCATGACGTAGACATCTCAGAAGTCAGTTTCAATGCTTTCTTAAATAAATCCAAAACCTTTTTACCTTTATCAAAATGTGAACGGGATAACTTATCTGATGATCACCGTAAAACTCTGAATAATAGTACATAATTTTCTTTTATTTATTGCATCATAATACCATAGATCCAAAAAACAAGTTTAACAAAACCCAGAAAAAGCCCCAAAAAAAAAAAAACAAACTGGATGCTTTTTTTTTTCTTTCCCTTTTTAACCTTTTCCTTTCCCAATGATTCTACAGAGCACGCACTTTTGGATCAACCAGTAGAGAAGGAGGAGAATTATGAAGAGACTCATCGCAATACCCTTCAAGTATATCACCTTCTTCATTGGTAAACCCTAGAGAGCTCATAATATTAGGCCAGCAATCTTGCCCTAACACCTTCTTAATGGCTTGGCAGCATCCATGCCCTAAGTACGTCTCACCACTGAGGAAGAACGTTATAACCTCCCCACTACAAGCTTGCAGCTCAAACAGTGAGTCCCAACAGGTCGACGGCCCGGCCTCCAGCTTCAGCCGTGCGGCAAGGCTAGCCGCTGGGGAGGCAGCCGACGGATCCAAGAGTGTTCGGGCCTCGACCATTGCTGATGTTATGATAAGAGCAATGAGGATGAAGAAGCTGTTGGTGGAAGCGGCCATTGGAGAAATTGAAGTATGTGAGAAGGAATTGAAGTTGTAGTGTGTGGATGGTTCTGTGAAACCAGCTAGCGAGGTTTTGGGGCTTATATGTAGCGGACGATAATGAATATAATTAATTTACAGTTACTTAAGATAGAAGAAGAAGGGGCTCCAAGTTAATTGTGATAACTAGCGGTTTCTATGATATGGCTAATTATTAGTTACTTTAAATATGGATTGATGTGTTAATGCATAAGGAATGTTAAAAGCCACTGTGTGTATTTGCGGTGAAGTTAATCTGACATAAATTTTGTTGCTTATGTTAATTTTTTTTAAGTTTTTATTAGGGGGACAACGTACCTTCACAAGGCGAGGGATATCATATCACGTATTTGATGATTATTAGAATTATAAAAATAGATAGATTAATTGCTTCATGGCAATCTAGCATAAACAAAATCATAATACTACCTTGGATCCTTAATATAAGGGTTAGTTTGACTTTCAATTTGAAGACCCCAATTCATTTTATTTATCATATTTATCTTTTTTTTTTCAAAATAGTCATTGTAGTAGTTGCACATGTTAAAAGTTCAATCAAATAGTAATTTTAACTAATACATGATTAGCAATGATATTTTAAAGAAGATAATACATAATTATTATAAATAACTAATTCAACAAACTTTCTTAATCTACTCAAATTAGTTAATTAGCTTTCATATTTTAAAGAAGTAATAAAATACTACCTCAGGTCCTTAAAATAAGAATTAGTTTGACATTCAATTTGATTCTAAATATAATACTCAAATCTACTTTGTCTATAATATTTACCAACAAATCTCATATGACAGAGTAGCAGTAAGAACAATATATATAGACCAAAAGAAATAAAAAAACAAATAGTATTTCTTGAAATATGAAACTAAGTTTATTGGTGAGTATTTTCTTAGTAAATAAGGTAATATTTTCTCATTTTATAATAATAATGAAATAAAATATTCAATCATTCAATTTATTCAAGTTTCAACGTAAAACCGCATGACCGCAATCGTACGTAACGGTTTATAACGTTGCAGGTATTGAAAACGAATCAACATTGCCTTCTTTTTTCCTGGTAATTAAGCTAAGACAGAAAATAAACTTGTTTACCAAAAGCGGCTAGAATTCGGACTGTTTTATCAACTTACTATTTTTTAAAAGAAAAAGCTATTAGTACAACAGATTTCTTAATATTTGACGGTTAATTTTATTCATATTTGACAGTTTTGAACCGTCAAATAAAAAAGCATCATATGTGCTATGTACAAATATTTGACGATTTTTAACCATCAAATAAGAGTATATTAACAAGAGTATATAAGGATACTCTTATTTGACGGTTCTTCACAAGAACCGTCAAGTAAGGGCACCCTTACTTGACAATTCTATTGAAGAACCATCAAGTAAGGGTACACTTATTTGATATTTTATAATTATTTTTCATTATATATTTTTATTAATTTTTTTATTTTTAATATTTACTATAACATATATTATAATCATAGAATGATAGCAAGCGAATCATATAAAATAAAGATGTTATATTTATGGAATTCAAAATCCTATACATTATAGATAAACACCATATAATTCAAAAGAAATTAATCACTTGAGCACTCCCTATATAAAAATATTGTCTAATAAATTCTTTGAATTCTTAAAAAAAAAACCTATCTTCTAAAAAATTTCCTAGATATCGTTGTTGATCAAACACCACAATCCAAGCCCCTCTGTTTCCATATGCATATATCCATAACTGTTTGAAAAAAAATTGGCTTCGTTGCCTCAATCTGTAACAAAAAATTTCTAAAAATCAGCACAAGTTAATCGCCATTTGGCTAAATACAAGGAATAAATTTTGACTGAAACAAACTACTTATTTTATTTTTTTAATCATCAAATAATTCCTAAAAATCTGTAACTAAATGAAATAATGTTGCAGCTAATACAGCATATCTCAAAACTAATTGATTGTTGAAAATCAAATTTGATTGTCCATAAAGGATAAATAAAAAATCAGCATATGACCCAACCTTGTATAAAGATCTTCTTGTTCTTCAAATGTTGTGTTCATCAATATCTGAAGCAAACATTAGTAGCAACAGTTTTTTTTTTTTTAAGTTCAAGTATTAGATTTGATTCATAATTCATGCTATATATAATAATACGCAAATTACCTAGTCTGAAATCATTTCAACTGACACACTTTGTGGCCCATAACAAATGATTAATGATAAATATATGTAAAAACTACCATCAATATATGCAAATTGAAAATAAAATAAAATAAAATATGATAACAAGCGCATGAAAATTTGGGTTGATCAATATCAATAGTTAAGGATCTTAAAATACTCTGCCAAAGCATAAGAGTGTTATTAAAAATACCTATGAAGTACTTAGGCAAATACAGAAATAGTTCAGTACAGTTTACTTCTTCCAATAATTATCCTATCTCCTGTGTGGCTTTAAGCAACTGTAGTGCATTTTCTTAGACTTGGTTTATCCTTGTAGAGCAATACATTATTGTGGCCTAACGCCAATCTATCAAAATTATAATAAAAACACAATAGAATAACTAAGAACAGTAAGTAGCATATAATGCATTCACTTCTAGCCTATAAGCTAATTCAAACTGTAATTCAAATAGCCAATCAATTAGACCAGTATCTAAAACTTGTGTAATGCAAATATCCAATCAATTAGATTAGTATCTAAAGATAGAAAAAGGGGAAGACTATAAATTTATGTAATTCAAATATCAAATCAATTATCCATAGAGATGAAAAGAACAAGAAGAAAATTTCTAAGAATTTCATCAAACTATAAGCAAATTTCTATTCATCCTTATAATTCATCTCCTTCTTTGGGCGAAAAACACAAATTAGCCTCTCGAACCTCAAGTATTTCATATCAGAATTTAAAAATAGAGACTAACACCTTACCTAATTTAGGTGTTTGCCTTTTGGCATAAACGAATGATTGGAACAGCACTTTCTTGCACACTTCTTCTCTATACCAAGGTCGTGAGAAATGGTTTAAGATTTAGGAGTCACTACTTACTAGCTACTCCAGAGGCTAGGCTAAATGCGAGAGGAAGCCATGTCAGCTTTCACTGAAATAAAGCTTGAGAAGTTAGGGCACAAAATCTGAGTAAGTATTTCGATGCCAGATATGAGATTGTGAGAAGGGTTGGATTTGACTTTAGAATAATAGATAAATAGAATATAGTGTATGAAAAGATTTGAACCCTAGGTCAATCAGATCTAAGAATGAAATCGATCTATCCCCTGTAAAATCAAATGATGAGAGCGATAACTGACACCGATTCGATTTCAACCTTCTCTTCTTCACAATATTCATTAAGTTCGTGAAGGGGAGGGGTGGTAGTGCGATGGTGAGAGAAGGGCGGCTACTTAATGCGTATAAAGTGAGGCTTCAATAGAGCAATTGAGAGAATCAGGATCAATGATCACCTAAAATAATATGAAAAGGGTTAATATTTGACGGTTATATAATTTAACCGTGAAGTAAAAACTTATAATTTTTTTTTTAAATTTCTTCATAATAAATATTTGACTCTTTTCATTTTTAACCGTCAAATATAAATTTCTAATACTTGACGGTTTTTATAAATAACTGTCAAATAAGCACTATTTCAATTTCTGTCCCATCTTATTTGACGTTTTTACCCAATAACCGTCAAATATTAAGTGTCATATATGATAAAATCTGTACTAGTATATTGTAATTATGGGCTTGTTTGTTTTTGTTCTTTATTTTCTTGTTCTCAAAACAATTTTATAAAATTATTTTTTAGAACAAGTTTTGAAAAAAAAAAAACAAAAGAATTTGTTTGGATAATAATTTAAAAAATCATGTTTAAAAAAAAACCATAGAAAACTACACTTGGTAGGTGATAGTTGTCATTGGTGATAATAAGTGGTGGATAATAGGTGAGAAGAGAAGAAGATTTCTTAAAATTTTTCAAAACAAAAAATAAAAAACACAAAAACAAAAACAGGAAATCATGTAAAAGTTGTTTTGATTTTTAAAAACATGTTACTTTTTTTTGTTTTTTAAAACAATCAACTAAAAACAACTTACCAAACAAATTTTTTTGTTTTTCTATTTTTAAAAATAAAAAATTGTTCTCAAAATAAGAAACCAAACAGGCCCTATATATTGATGACTTCAAGTACATTTTCTATTTTAAAATAATTATCAAGTCACTTTAAAATTTTGGTTTCCTTACAATAATTTTTACTTTAGAATTTTAGGGAAACACTAATTATTTTTTTAATCACTTTACTACTTCATCAATAAAAGTAATGGTCAGTGAGGTTTAGTAGATAGGCATACATACTAACATTTTAATACAAAAACACTCCCTTCATATATATATATATATATATATATATATTAGATTTTGGTATAAATAACTTAGGCAATTCATAATGAAAATTAATCCCGATTGTATATAGGATTCAAAGTCATAGAAGATCAACACCAGTTATAATTATTCAGCCAAAAATTGTTGTATTATGAAAAGAGCCATATAAACGTTTCGTGTTTTGCACAACGATTGTTTGAATATTGATTATTTTATAGATATATTAAATGTATTGATATTGATTAGTATGAAGTTTTGGGAGTATAAGATACTTAAATAACCCAAATTCTTATTTAGGTTATTAAATTTGTCAAACTTCTAATTAGATCACATAATCCAAAAAAAAGATTTTGAAATCTTATGAAATGATTTTAATGCCGCTTTCAATAGAAATCAAGAGAAAAAAGTTTTAAATTAACATATTTTATTTTACAATTAGTACGTTTTAGTTTTAAATTAACAATTTTCTCTTTTCATAATACTCTTGTCTAAGTATTTGAATAAAACTTGATTACAAGACAACATTAAAAGTTAATAAGTTTAATTATGTAATTAACAAGTTTGAATTTTAAACTAACAGCTTTATATCTCTAAAACACATGCAATAAGTCTCTAAATAAAACTTAATCATAATAGAACCTTAAAAATTAATATTTTCTATTTCACAGTTAACACGTTTTAATTTTAAATTTACAACATTTTCTTTCTAGAACACACTTGCGATAAATTTTGAATAAAACTTGATCACAATATTAAACACGTTTTAATTCTAAATTACAATTTTTTGTCTCTGTAACACACTTACAATAAATCTTTAAATAAAACTTGATCACAATATAATCTTAAAAATTAATATATTTCTTTTTACAGTTAAACACGTTTCAATTCTAAATTAATAATTTTTTTGTCTCCATAACACTTTTAATAAGTTTTTGAGTAAGAGTTATTACATTATAACCTTGAAAATTGACATGTTTAATTTTGTACTTTACATGTTTTAATTTTAAATTAACAATTTTCTATCAAGATAAAACTATCTGGACTAAGAAAGGAAGATTTAATATAAAAACTAACTTATCATTAGCTTCTTGATTGATTTTCTGACTTTTTAATGGTAGACACCAAGTTTTTCTTGTTCAAAGCTCTTACACAAAGTGAAAATGATAAAAAAAAATTCATCTCTTTAGGTATCTAATGAAAAAGACATTTGAGTCTTTTTATAAAATTGTAAAATTTCTTTTTGGGTCATGTGACTCAATTAGGGTTTTGACTAATTCAATAACATAAAGGATTAATTAATCCGCAAGTCCTTGTAGTTTTAGCCAATTTTGAATTATGTCCTTATATTTTTTTTTCTTTTTATCAGGTCCTTATACTTTCATTTGTTTTTAATTAAGTCCTCGCATTTATTTTTCTTTTTATTAAGTCCTTATAATTTCACTAAATTTTTAATCAGGTCCATCTAGTTTTAATTTTTATTTATTAATTAAATATAAACTTAATAAAATAAATTAATACTGAAATATAAAATATTAATAATTAAATTAAATTAATAATTATATAATAAAAGATAAGTAATATAATTAATTAATTCAGGAAATTTTTTTAGAACAATTTTTTTTTTTGCAAAAAAAATATTATAATAATTTATGATTTTTAGAGTATTATTGTTTACAAACTAATATTAAATAATAAATACTATTTTATGTTTATAGAATAGTACTATTAGAATTTATAAAATAAAGAATAAAAAATTTAGGGACTTAATTGAAAATAAGGTGAACTTATAAGGACTTGATAAATAAAAAAATAAATGCAAGGATTTAATTAAAAACAGGTAAAAGTATAAGGACCTGATAAAAAGAAAAAAAATTATAAGGACCTGATTCAAAATTGGTTGAAACTATAAGGACTTTCAGATTAATTATCCCTAACATAAATAAGAATCTCTGTTATTTAAATTTTTTTAAAGAAATTTTTCAAAAAATTTTTATATTATGTAACACACATGCAAATGAAAAGGTTGTAATATTTTTTTTTCATTAACTTAATTTTAAAAGCAATAATTTCAATGGAACCACAACAGTATTGGCGGGGGGAAATGGTCTAATTGTTTTTTTCCTTCACGCGCTGACGCGGCGGGTTCAACGAACTTTCGAAGGTGGTTAAAACCTAAAATTGGCTCGGTCAAGGCATTGCACGGGGTCAAACTTCTCATTAATGCGTTGACATTCACACGTCACAATATGAAGAATGTGTTTTGTTTTTTTGTTTTTAAAAAATCAGATTTAAATCAATTGATATAAAAAATATTAACAATTTTTAAACTAATTTTTAATTATATAATTAAAAATACTAGTACACAAATAAAAATATATTTATTAAAAAAATAATACTTAAATTTCTTTTTATTAAATTTAAGTCTCCAATAATGCTTTAGTATTTAATTTTGTATATTTCATTTTTTATCATTTAATTATTTTCAAATTTCATTTTCATTCTTTAGAATTTAATGAATATTTCTGCGACAATATTCTGTATTTAAAAATCATATTTTAGATCACATAAGTTAAAAATATTTGCCGTAAATTATTTAAAAATTGAAATTATTTTACAAGTTCAGAGGATAAAATGTTTGTTCACTTTAGAGACCGTAAAGTGAAATGTGGTTATGATAGTGCAGATAAATTTTAAACATCCAAGCATACATGAAGTGATGAACTACAATGGGAAAAATAAATTAGGAGTAAATTCAACTTTTAGATATACAAAATAAGTATTTAGTTATTATTTTTATATTTTGCATGTGAAATGGTTTAATTTTTTGAGTACTAATTAAATTTTCCTACATAAAATTACTTGGGTATATCTTTTATGAATTTCTCAATTAGAATTAGAAAATTTTATTTTGCTAATATATGCTGATCAAATTAAGTATTAAAGTAAATTATACATTTGACAAATAATTCTGAATTTTGTTGAATATAATTCAATTCTTTGTTCTTAAATTTTGTCCATAATTTTGAATAAAATAAAAACAAAAGTACCGTTTACTTAAAAGTCTCTAAAGTTAAGAGCACTAACGTATGTGTCACTGCTTTACTTAGACCAAAGTTCAACCAAAAAACATAAAGAATAGACTTAGACCAAAGTGACCAATGGCCAATAATTTAATTTGAAACAATGCCGTGTATGATTGTAACTTTTGACCATTCTTTTAGTCCAGCATTTTGTATATGTTCTCTTTAAAATATGAGTTAATTAAGATGTTTGTTTTGATAATAGATATAAAAGTTTAATTTATTTTATCTCTTAAATTTATAATTTTTTTCTCAACTATGCTTAAAAATTACATATATTAAAAGGATTTCTAAAAATAGAAATAATGATTAAATGAGATATTATAAGTAAACGTAGACATATTTGTTATAAATAACTAATCTAACAAATTTTTTTAATATTTATAAATTAGTTATCTAATTTTTATATTTAAGATCTGAAAACAATGTCTCATCCAAATTTTGCTTACACCAGAGTTAAATTTCTTCTAAAAATATCAATTGTTTTAACTTGAACTATCCGTTTAGACATAATTGTTATGCTATAAACATTTTTGTCTACTACTACTCTTTCCACCCTAATAATTTTATAATGGCATCTCAAATTTTAAGTTATCATTTGTCACGTAACAATCATGTTTTTTATGTTAGAAAATAACGTAAAGATGTTCACATTTTCAGATGGCTTCGATTAATTAATTAATTAAAAAAAAGTTGGAAGAAAGTATGAATTAAAGAAAAATACATAAAAGAAAAGAGTCATTTCATGTGTTCATATTTTTCTCTCGTTAATGTAATTGTAATATAAATAGCCTTCCTCTCTTCGCTCTGCTTTTACGAGAGCTTGCTTAAGCTCAAATCAGAAAGCTACCTCATGGACCTCAATTTGAGATGTGCCAAGCTGTTCGTTATTCTTCTCTTAATTGCTTCCACTTCACAGCTCTTATTCTCACTGTCTGCTTTCGCAGACACAGGAATTCTCGATAATGAAGAAGGTAAACGGGCATGAATCAGAGAACCAGAGCTTGTTTGTTGTTGTGTTTGATCACTGCTCAACATTTGTGCCAAATACCGCAGGATGCTTTTGATTATGCCCGATCAGTTTTTTTTTTCTTGACCATATGATGGTATGCGTATTGTATCATTTTTAGAACATGTTGAAGCTCACCTGCTTGGTTTTTGGTAACTAACGATAACGAAAGTAAAACTAGAAATTTTGGAATATCTGGTATTAGCAAAACCTGAGAAGATTAGTTTAGCAGTTAGTAAGTATCTTGGGATCGTTAAAGATATAAAAATGAGGCTGAATAATTGATGTGAGTTGCTTAGAGTTTGAAGTATTTGTTAAGATTGTTTGCTCTGTAATAGTTATTTCTTTTCTTTTTGGGAATTTCTATTTTCATATTGCTGATTGTGTCTGAATTATGCATAATGCAGCTAACACATTGAAAGAGATAGCGAGGAAAATAGGGAAGAATGACTGGGACTTTGAAAAAGATGATCCTTGCAGTGGGAAAGGGCAGTGGAATGCGTCTGATGAGAGCGCACATTTTGAGAGCATTGTGGTCTGTAAATGTAACGAGTCTTCTTGCCATGTTGTAAGCATGTACTGTTCTATTACCATCTCACGATCCTTTCTTTCTTTCTTTCTGTTTGGACCAATAATTTGAGTTCAGTTCTTTCTGCCACGAGAGAGAAAGTGAAGACAAACTGTGAATTCTATGAATGCGTGGGAGTTGGGAGGAGAACAGGCCAGAAGGAATCCAAGAAAAATGGAAGGGGAGAGAAAGAAGACAAATGAGTGGTCAAAAGATCATTTTCCTTCCCCTGTTTTGGTGGGGAAATATCTTGATTCTTTTAAAGTTACAAAAGAGGGAATACTGAGGACGATTTTGGAACTATGAAAGAAAAAAACTTTCGTTATGCTTTTCTCCTGACTGATACTTTAAAATTATCAAAAGGTTTCAATCAAACTTTCGCTTCTCCTGCACTATCCTCCACCAAACATACTCGAATATCATTGGTATAATGTATAAATTTTTATTTAATTTTAGTACTCTTTTTGGTTATATGCTACTGGTGCTTGCACTTAAGAATATACATTTAAAGCTATCTGGACATGTTATAGCAGAATTTACGTTTAATCGTTTTCTGTTTTCGTCTTCTGTAAATTGTGTAAACCTGTTTGGTCAGTAAGATAAAAGGTTGCAAAAGGTTCATTTGGAAAGCCTATCGCTGCATTCCTGCACATCATGTTATTTTAATATTTTCTGTGCAATGGTATTTCTCACCGATTTAGTTTACTACTTTGACAATAATTTTTATCCCTTCAAAAATATTTCGTAGTCTTATGGAAAGAATACTTATTTCGGTTATTGATAAAAACAACTAATAATACTTTGTATTCTTCAAAACTTTATACAATCGGCTAATCCTGAACAAAAAATTTGGTCTCCGCTACTTGTTCTAAATTCTTTTTCACATTATGTATTTGCAGATCCTTGAAGGCCCAGAATCTTTCTGGTGCTATCCCGCCGGAATTTTCCAAGCTAAATCATCTCAAGAAACTGTAAGATAAACCAGACGTCTACTAAACAAGTTAATGATCTTCTGTTTCTCTCAATGATGTTTCTGTAGAATCCACATATTCATAGCCCCAAAATCCTAAGTTAAAATTCTTTAGGGTATGTCTGAGAGTTGAGAGTAGAAGAAAGGAAAGAATCTATGAAAAATGGATGATTTGCCTTCCCTTTGTTTCGGAAAATTTCATCCTAAAAAATCCCACTAATTGGAAAAACTAATAATTATGAAGAAGGTCTTCATTATACTCTTTTCCTTCCCCAAATGTGGAAACATCTTAATGAAACATTCCCTTCCTTTCCATGCATTATCCGCCTTGTAAACAAACCTTCAGGTCTTTGTTATCAAGTGAAAACGCAGTGCTTAGAAATTTTACTGGAGAGTCAGTTATATAGAGTAAATTGTAAAGAAAACTATGCTTTTACCGGACCTGTTCGTCTTGAATGCCAGAGGAGTTGGGTGTTTCTTTGTTATTACCTCTAAAGAATCTGGTTAGAACTACACTCTGCCAGATTATTGTTAATTCTTAACATCACTTGACGCTTGAGTTCCATCAGAACCTAATAGCTCAGACGCAGAAAATTATAGTCAAGTTCTCTGCCTTTTATATGGTCTACGGCTAAATTACCTTGTCTTGTGCTCTAAACAGGACACTGAGTCTTAACATTCTCAATGGTTCTATACCTGGCCAATGGGCTAATATGCATTTGGTTGACCTGTGAGAACTTTCTGCCATGCACTCTCTGCTTTCATCAACTCTCCTCTTGAATAGCTCATTTTTTAACTACATTTATTATCAATTTCTGTTAATTTAATATGCAGCTCGATTATGGGAAACAGATTGTCAGGCCCTTTCCCTGCAGTTCTCACGAACATCACGACTCTCCAGAACCTGTACGTTGGGATCATTCCAAAATTTCTATGTTCATGTCTACATGCAAACAAATTTATTTAGATGTCTCATGTTTGCGAATCCATTATTGTTAAAAGAAAGCGAAAAGAAAGCATATATTTGACTTAGGTTAATCTTCCCTCTACTATCATTATCCTTATCATTTTTTTTTTTGGGGTATGCAATGGGGTACTGTCGTCGTCGTCATCATTACTATTATCTTTTAAGTTATTACCATCAAAACATTATCCCTTAATTTTCTTTATGCCCAGACTTGCAACTTCTATACCTGCCTAGAGGCAACTGGAGATGATTTGTCAGCATTGCCAACTAAATCTAACTTCAAATTGGTTTATTTGCCTGATTAAATATTTGCACAAATGTTATAGGACTATTGAAGGAAATCTATTTTCGGGTCCCATTCCACGAGATATTGGAAACTTGATCAAGTTAGAAAAACTGTAATTTCTCTCACTTATTTTATTTGCTTTATCCGAATATGTTGATACATATCTGATGCTGCTGCTTCCCTAATATACTGTACTGTGCTGTTTAACATGAATAACGTTTTGTGTCTTCCAGCCATCTGTCGTCAAACGCATTCACTGGAGAATTGCCAGTTGAACTTTCCAAATTGAAGAATTTGACTGACTTGTAAGCCTTTGCTTTCCTATCAAGCTAGTTTACTCCTAATCCATATCAATCAAACTAGTTTATGGAGGATGGCAAAGTTATATGAACTTTTCGGAGCCAAACGCTAGTAACTAAATTGAAGTTGTCCAGAGGCCATGTAAACCTTAAACTTTAAAACTGGGGACTGAAATTCTACACCTTGTAATTCGGATCAGAACACAACATTCATGGGCCTCTATTTTATATCATGAACTACAGAATTATTGCATTTACCTAATTCTGGATGCATGCTTTTTCATGTTTCTTTTATTTTTCTACATTGTTGTTCTACTGACTATCCTTATGGGATACATTCTAGGAGGCTAAGCGACAATAACATCTCTGGGCGCATTCCTGATTTTATTGGAAGCTGGACATTAATTGAAAAGCTGTAAGCTTCCCCAGGCCCCCAGCTTTCTCTTTCTGTAGTTTTGCATTTTTCGGAGCTTACTACATCAATTTTGTTTTTTGATCAGGCACATGGAGGGTTGCTCTCTTGAGGGGCCCATACCTTCAAGCATTTCAGCCTTGACAAGCTTAAGTGATTTGTATGCATTGCTTTATCATATTTTCATTTTATCATGGAAGGAGAAATGTACAATATGGTGTTTGTACATGAAACGGTCAGGATTTAATTTCAACAACCTGCTGTGTGGGCTCCACATATGCGGAATAAGTGATAACCATTTGAATGTTCTGTACCATATTGTACTTCAGAATTCCTCATCGTAGAAAATGGGAAATTTTGGAATGTGATTGTTTTTGTTGTTGCTTGATATTTAGGAGGATAACTGATCTAAAAGGTGGAGCCTCTGATTTCCCATCATTAAGAAACATGAAATTCATGGAGAAATTGTGAGTTCAGTGACCTTGACGTCTTTTTTTTCCCCATAAAATTCTTACAAAATTATCTGTATTTAACTTGGATGAGGATATCATAATGCAGGATATTGAGGAACTGTATGATTAAAGGGGAGATCCCAGAAGATATTGGGAGAATGGAAAACCTGATAACCTTGTAAGTAATTCAAAGGAACAACTTTAAAATCTATCAACCATGTTGCCTTTTGACATAATCCTTGAATTGGTGTGTGGTAGGGGAAGAGGAGGGTTTTGGGAACCCACTTTCACCCTCAGTCATTTTCGAACCATCATTAATCCCTCCCTACCCACTTAATCTTTCCAAAATTAGATGTCTGAAAAAGCTCCTGTTTAGAAATAAATGAACTGCACAAGGTAGTGGAAGAAGTTGTAAATTATGAGCAAACTGCAAGGAAAAAACAAGAAACTAGAACCTAATTTCCATCATGGTTGAGAAAAAAAGAAAAAGAAAAAAGAGGCTAGATAAATTACAAGGCAAAAATGAATTTTGTTTGTGACACAGTTCCCACACTAATTCTTTTACATCTCTCACATTTACTCACTCATAATTATGAGGCTAGATAGATAAAAAAGAGGTGTAAAGTAGTTCAATAACAATGTATTGATAAAACCTCCTATGAATGTACTTTTCTCTATTGCTCAGGTTCGAGGACTAGTATTATGATATTAGTCTAAATTACAGGTTGGTTTGTGCTGTAAATAAATTTATAAATCTAGATGGAAATTTTGGAACAGTAGTAAACATTGTACACACAATACAGGTTTTACTTTATTATTTATATCCATCTTGAAAACCAAGTGTTATACTTTTTGGATAATCTTACATTTTAGCAATAAATCACATATATTTGGGTTGCTGTAGAGATCTGAGTTTCAATAACTTGACTGGAGAGATACCGGCTACTCTTGCCCAACTTAGAAGAGTAAAATTTGTGTAAGTGGCTGAAACAATCGAACTATCTTATTGTGACATCTCGTTCATATTGCCAGGAAAACAACTCTTACATGTTATATAATGTAGATATCTTACTGGGAACAAGCTAGGAGGGACTATTCCTGAGTGGGTCCTTGAATCGAACAAGCAAGTGTATGTAAAGTTACTTGACTAATTATGCTTCATTTCACTTGCTAATTTATGAGTTGAAATAGTTCTTCGCAGCATGGCTGCAACTAGACAAGTAAAACTTTTTTTAATACTTTATTGTGTACAGTGATATTTCTAATAATAACTTTAGCTGGGATGGCTCAGGTCCTGTTGAATGCCTGCAAGGGAGCGTGTAAGTTATGTTTAAGATGAATTTTTCAATTACTCTGCATCAGTATTAATTATGACAGGGATAACATTTTGTAATTTGTCCAGGAACATGGTCGAATGCTACTCTTCTTCTGTGGATACAGAGTAAGGCCTTTGGGCTTGGACTATCAACTTTACCTGTTAGCTCTAGAGGAATATCTTGTATAAAATATGGATTATGATAATAGGGGTAGATCTTCTGTTCATATTCAAGATATAACCTCAAATTTATCTTTGTTGCAGAAGTAGAGTTAATCCATGCATGAAAAGGAATTTCCCATGTCCTGCTTCCACCGGGCAATGTAAGTATGTGACAGCACATAATTATAAATTTTCTTGGGCGTCACTAGTATCAAAGATTCAATCCATTTATTATAATCTATAACATGCTTCCTCAAGTCTTCCGAAACTTCAAATATGAACAAAGTGTAGCCATCATACTCTGGACAAGGTGACGGGGAGATTTCATCAACTTGGTCTTAGAAGTATTGATGCGCATCAAGGTCAAAGACCACTTAAAACATTTTCATTATTAGATAAAGGCCTTAAATAATATATTGTTATAACTCAAGAAGACATTAGTTAGCCAAGCTGTCACATATAGTATTCTAGCAATTCCAGTGACATTTTTCTATGCTATTGTCTATCTTTGCCGTTATTTATTGACGGATTTGCATACTACGTTGTTTCTTCAACAGATCATTATTCATTTCATGTTAATTGTGGTGGTGAGGAAGCCAATGTCAATGATACAATATATGAATCTGACATAGAAAAAAGAGGTGCTGCAGTGTTTTACTCCACCCAGAACTGGGCGCTTAGCAGCACAGGGGACTTCATGGACAATCATCAGAACTCTGATAACTACATTCAGACCAATACTTCTACACTTCTGAATGTCTCCGTCGTCGATTCACAACTATACACAACAGCTCGCATATCTCCTCTTTCTCTCACATACTATGGACTTTGTCTCTTAAATGGAAACTATACTGTGAAGCTTCACTTCGCGGAGATTTTGTTCTTGAATGATAGATCATATTACTGTCTTGGAAGGAGGATATTTGATGTCTACATCCAGGTAAATGTTATTGAAATGAATTGCTGATGGTGTGAGAATTTTCTGCTACATCTAGACCTGTCCTTTTTTCTTTTTTTAAATTTAATTTAGAGGGGCAGAAACTAATAACTTGAGGATACAAGCATGATCGAACCCACAACCTTCCACTTATAGAGGAGTTTTCATGCCACTAGAATACAACGCCATTGGCTGGACTTGTCTATTTTCAACTGTATTAGATACAGGATGGAACATGGAAGCTACCACGACACACTACCAAGTATTTGGTGAAAATCAGTCAACTAAAAAAATTGTTTTGAGCTTGGATGTATGTGGATGCTCTGATATAGGTAGACCAATAAAAGGAAAGTGACCAAAATTTAAATAATATGATTCTACATCTTATTATTTAGTTGGTAGTCCTTTGTGTTGAAATAGATCATGACGCCAAAATTAAAAGAAAATAAGATTTAAATGTAAACATGCCAATTTTATATGTATGCTTTTCATTTTTACTATTTTTGAAATTTATCGTGTTGATTTATCCTTATATTGTATCGCATGTCTACGTCAATGTCACTGTTTCTCAGATTCCCACTTTATCATACATTGATATATTATTGTGTGGTTTTATATTAAGGGGAATTTGGTCCTGAAAGACTTCAATATAGAAAGTGAAGCTGGTGGTACTGGGAAGCCAGTTGTGAAGACATTCAATACTACAGTCACCCGACATACCCTGAAAATTCACTTCTACTGGGCTGGAAAGGGCACAACAGACATACCACGAAGAGGATATTATGGACCTCTGGTGTCTGCTATATCTGTGTATCCTAGTAAGTAGCTATAATGTCCTGTATCTCCGTGTTAATGCGAGTTGGAGAGACTAGAGTTTGATATAATCAAGAGACGCTATGAATATATTGGATAAACATGGTCAGTTATTGAGCTGCTGTATCAAATGAGATATCCAATGAGATTTTCTCAGGTGCAACTGATTTTATAAGAGATTGGTAAAGTCAACCTGGAAGAGATATATAAGCATATTAGGGGTAGGCCCCATTGAAAAGCATGTTTGATGTGCTTATATTAATTATCAACTTAATTTGTTTATCTTTACTAAACCAGGTCTACCAAAGATCCAATGAAAAGTTATATTCATGATAATTGTAAGGTGAAATTACTAAAGGTCCAAAGAAGTGGTTGGTACCATAACTTGACTGTAGTTTCCTTTCACTTCTTACAAGAGTAGATCATATAGCCAAAATTGTGCTTTTACCTTCAGCATTAACTTAATTAACCTGTTTCTGTTAGCAAAGTACACAAAATGGGGAATGCGTAATACTGAAATTTCTTAACAGGGTGTCGGAATATGAAATAGTTCATTCTGAGACTTGATTAACAACGCATATCAAACTAAGACATGTGGAGAAAGAAATCATTTTTGAACTTTTAAATAGAGTTTACTAACTGGCGTCGATAAAATTTAATCAAGTGTCGGATAACTAAAGGAGAAATATTGGCTTTTGTGACTGCGTATGCTCTTGTGGAATTGTTCTTGTAGTTTCAACCAAATCTATGAGCACTAACTTCCTTTGCACAGATTTCAAACCTCCATCCGGGGATGGAAAGAGAATTTACATCGTGGTGGGCACAATCATTGCTGTTGTAGTTCTTGTTCTCCTGGTCTTGAGCGTCATGAAGTGGAAGGGCTGGCTAGGAGGCAATGACTCTGTATACAAAGGTATAGAACATACCTCCAAAATGTGTACAGTTGAATTATTTTGGAATGGATATTTCAGAATTAAGCTTCTTAATTTCAATTATTTACATTTTACAGTATAATATGTTTTATTCTTGTAAGTTAGTCACCACCTTCATCAGCTTCTTGAAGAATTGATACTATATATATATATATATATATGCAAACAAACAAATTCCTACTCAAGGTTGAATATGAATGGCTTAATGCTTTTAGCGCAGAAAATGAAACGAAAAAGGAATCTGCCAGAAGATATTGTAGACCAAATTATAAACAATCTTTTATTGACATTCAAATTTGAATTTCATTTCCCCAGATCTTAGAGGTTTAGATCTGCAGATGGGATTATTTACTTCAAGACAAATCAAAGCAGCAACTGAAAACTTCAATGCAGCCAACAAAATTGGGGAAGGTGGATTTGGCTCTGTTTACAAGGTAATCCACTAAAAATAAATGAAGGAAAAAACTTAGATGAAATAATTAGGTATTTCTACCAAGTTCTGCAAAAAACAAAAAAAAAATGGCATAGGAGTAACTGTTGTTAGAGTCAATTTTACCACACGTAGTTATAAAAAAATGTACCCGCTTTTCACTCAATTTTGATAGCATTCTAAGAACTCCTCCAGTTTATAATGTCACTTTACTCATCTGTCTATCCATTGTTTACTTTTCTAAATCATTTGATTTTAATGACAATAAATATAGTGTGGGATCTAGGTCCAGATGACTTGAGATAAAGCAGCTCTATGAGACTGTCTTTGGAAAACATGAATTTCTCCGATCCATAAGACTGTAGCCCTTGGTGGGCTAAAAGTAGAGCGAGGTTGTCCTCGTATGTGCTGATTGAAGCATATAATGAATCAAAGAACTATCTGAATTTTATGTAAATTCTGCTGCATGTTTAAAATGCTGGTAAATACAAACTGGACCTCATTCCTCATGCAGGGTCTACTGCCAGATGGCACAGTAATTGCAGTAAAGCAGCTCTCCTCAAAATCTACACAAGGAATCCGTGAATTTGTTAATGAGTTAGGAATGATATCTGGGCTTCAACATCCCAATCTTGTTAAGCTTTATGGATGTTGTGTGGAAGGAGACCAGTTAATGCTGGTATATGAGTATATGGAAAACAATTGTCTATCTCGTTTTCTTTTTGGTAAGCTTAATGTCTGTTATAGATTATGATAAAATTATTGATGGGCTTTCACTAAATAGCTTAGGATAGCCAGTTCAACTGGTCCTTGACTGGGTGTTGAAGCCTAGCCCTCACTCTGCACATGTCATAGTGAACTTACCCTATAAATAAAATCTAGATCAATTGGTAAGAGACAATATCTCTCCTTAGCAATTGGTTTAAAATCTTAAGTTCAAATGTGTGCCAGTGCGTCTTAATGATCACCTAGGAAGCAAATAACCTGGCAAGTCCAGTGAACTTGTGCTTTGTCCATGCTAAGAAAGTACCGTGGCAAACAACAAATTTGGCACCGCTGAGTTTGTTGAATTTTATAGTAACTTCATTCATCACCCTTGACTAAATAATTCAATTTTTTTTAGTTGAAAAGGTGTCCAACTAAGTCCAATATACAGCTAACTAAATAATTATCCTTGCAGGGAAGGATTCTGGCCGCCGAGTGCTATTGGACTGGCCAACTCGGAGGAAAATTTGCCTTGGCATAGCTAGAGCTTTGGCTTATCTCCACGAAGAGTGCGTGATTAAAATCATACACAGGGATATAAAAACAAGTAATGTGTTGCTTGATAAGGATTTTAATGCTAAGATTTCAGACTTTGGTTTTGCAAAACTCAATGTAGATGAAAATTCCCATGTTAGCACTCGCATTGCAGGAACTATGTAAGTTTGTCACATGTCACTACTTTCTTCTCTGGTCTTTTTAAACAACTATAACATGTTGTTTGGAATGAAGCTTTTCCAAATTTTTGTTATTTTATTGTCTTTGTTTTGCAGAGGTTATATGGCTCCTGAATATGCAATGCGTGGTCATCTAACTGATAAAGCTGACGTTTATAGTTTCGGGGTCGTTGCATTGGAAATTGTCAGTGGAAAGAGTAATACAAATTTCAGACTCAGTGAGGAATTCATTTTCCTCCTTGATTGGGTAATTAAAGCCAATTTGAACTTTTTTTTTTACGAGTTCCTTATCTGCATTCTGGTTTACAATTATATCATGTTTTACATTGAGTATCACACAAATAAGAAATTCTTAATCAGAATTTTAGAGTAACAAATGCCATGCTTCACTTCTCAAAATAGAAAAGCCACTGGGAAAGTTAGTCTTCTTGGTGAAACATTGTAATTGAACCTTGGTGTTCTAGGTTCAAATGTTAGGAAGAGAAACAAGGTTCTATGTATGGTATCACAATGTTTCATGGTATGAATATGAATCGTTCGTATGTTATAGAAATCAGTAAAGGTTAAATAATGGATTCCTCCAAAATTGTGCCATCCTATGCCTTTTAATATCCTGGATACTAATATACTAAGCACAAGCATCTTCAACGGCACTTGACATTCAAGATATCAGGGGTGAAGATGATAGTGCACCAAACACCTCTGGTATGAAATAGCCTTTACAGATTGAAATATGTCACGTTCTTATGAAGACTATAACCTTGTCTTAAATCTGGGTTTTTTCCCCAGGCCAATGTTTTGAAAGAGAACGGAAGACTACTAGAGCTGGTCGATCCAGATTTGGGTTCAGAATACTCAACGGAGGAGGCCATGGTAATTCTAAACGTGGCACTCTTGTGTACCAATGCATCTCCTGCGCTTAGGCCAACAATGTCTCAAGTTCTGAACATGCTTGAAGGAAGAAGTAACATGGAGGATCTACTTTCTGATCCAGGACATCAAGCAGCTAATTTCAAATATGAGGCCCTAAGAAGTCACTTCTCTGAGAATCTGAGCCTCCGAGAAAGCATGTCAATTCATGGTCAATGCCCTTATTCCTCTAGTTCAGGCGTTGAAGTAGAAGAGAAGCACCTTCTTGTACGTGCTGGAGCAGACACAACTAAAGCAGACCAGTGAAGACAATCCCATGATGTTTTTGTTTGAAGTTTAGTAGTACTAAAGAAATATGTTCATTTTGGTTCAATGTTGAGCATTAACCAAACTGAACCAAGCAAATTTGTCATACTGAAACGTGCGACTATCTAGTCTTTGAGGTCGATCTGTGTTTTTTTTTTTTTTTTAATTTTATTTGTTGGTTTATGCTGTATTAAGTTGGTTCGCTAATTGATCAATCTGGCTAATTATATATATAAATATATACTCCTCCGGTCCTTAATATAAGACCTATTTAACTAATTTGATTAAATTAAGGAAGTTAGGTAAGTTAGTTAATTATAAGAAAAGTAACACATTTTTTCTAAAATACCATAATCATCTTTCTTAATACCCCTCTCCCTCTTCTAATTGTTTATAGTTGAGAGAGTATCCATAGGGGTAATTTAGAGAAAATTGATAAATATGAGAAATGGGTCTTATATTTAGAACCAAAACCAACTCAAGAATTGAGTCCTATATTAAAGACCGAAGGAGTATATTGTTGGTTTAAAAAAACTACTCCTTCTGGTTTTGTATATAAGCTTCAAATAACTGAATCACGTTTAACGAACTAACAATTAAAATTAGTTAAAAATAATAAAAAGATCAGAAATGTATTTTTATTTTTCAAATTTATCCTTATTTATTAAGAGAGTAAATAAGAGAGACAATAAATGAAAAATGATGAAAGAAAATATATGGAGAGAATATTAACAGAAGAGAGGGAGTACTAAACAAAGTCAAGGCAAAATAGGAGGAAAAAAAGTAATAAACATTTAGACAAATTCAAAAGTAAAACTTATATTTTGCATCAGATCTTTCTTCAAAAATGAAACTTATATATAGGAATGGGGGGAGTTTATTTAGAAGTTTTTTCGTTGAAGAAATTGATTGGTCCAAAGCATGCAACGACCATAACTGATACTCCTGTCTTCACGCTAGTCGGTAATTATCTTCACAGGCGACACACTAAATCAATCTTGCTATGCATTCTCTTGTTCTCGGTTGGACAGCTTTCTTGTTCTTGGCCTCGCATTTTGCTGAATCCCTCGGAAATGACGAGCATCGCACTCTACCAAATCTCTCAGCCCATCACTTGCCACGCTTGGAGCCCTGATCAATCCAGTAATTCATCCCTCTCTAACTTTCTTGTTTTCTGATTGTTATTTACGGAATTGGAATGTTGCTGGTTTGTCTTTGAGGATTTTGAGGATTTTGGTTGGGTGGAATATATGTTGTGAATCAATCTGATTCTGTTTTTGGTATTGAAACAATGAGTTTGGTTTTCGAAACCTACTTTCGTGGTGGATTGAACAATTTTCTGATCTGTGACTCTCGTGCATTCCGATGAGCTGTTATTTTGCGGGATCATGTCTTGAAGATGAGAGACGCTGCGTAAATGCTCATTAATTTTTTGCCGCGGTAAATTCTCATTTTATAACTTAAACACAAACTAGTACACTGTGTTCAGTTTGAGGGAGGAAAAGGGAGGGGAGAGATTTTAATAAAAGAAACAGAAGGAGAGGGAAGGGGAGGGTAGCTATAGAGGGGTGGAGGAGGGAGATTTCTCTTGTTTGGATTGATCGGAGAGAAGGAAATGAAAGAAATTTTAATGTCTAATCAAAAATTAATTATTTTAACTTTATAAAATTTAAATGAATGTTCTCATCTTTTTATTTCATAAATATATACTCCTCCGGTCCTTAATATAGGACCCAATTGGTGAGTTAGTTTTGGTCCTAAATATAAGACCCATTTCTCATATTTATCAATTATCTCTAAATTACCCCTATGGATACCCTTTTAACCATAATCAAGTAGAAGAGAAAGATGAGGTATTAAGAAATATAATTATGGTATTTTAGGAAAAACGTGTCATATTTCTTATAATTAACTAACTTACCTAACTTCCTTAATCTAATCAAATTAGGTAAATGGGTCTTATATTAAGGACTGGAGGAGTATTAATGCAATTCACCAATTTTGATTTGTAAAAACACTGTATCACACACATATAGAATATCAAGGTAAAAAATCTTAAGCGATAAGTTTCAATTAGAAAAGAGACATTGAAGGTGAGAAAAAATATTGCATAAAACAATAAGATTAGAATAAGAGAAGAAATATCCAAAAGTACTCAACAACTTTGGAGACAACTATCTCGATAACTATTTACTAGATGATCAAAAGAACTCTTTTACATACAAATGTTTACGTCAGATTGGGGTCAATAAATTGAAAGTATATAGGAGAAATTAGAACATTTTAGTTAGGTTAATTTTAAAACTTAAAATTTTATCTTCCATCTTCCCTCTTAAAAAAAAAAATCTCAATTTTAGAAGGGAAGCTAGAAGAGAAAAAGAAGAGAGGAGAGCCCCACACTTTTTTTTTAAAAATATCTCAAATAAATAAAGAAGAAAAGTAACTCCCCTCCTCTTCTTAAAAAATGTATCAGCCAAATAAAGAGAATAAAGAGAGGAGAGCAACTTTCTCCCTTCAAAGACCCGGTATCAAACATTATGGTAATGCAGAGCATTTCTTTTCTCTAAAGTAGAAGTTAAACCACAAATAGAATTTAAATTAACAACTGGAAAAATAGGAGTTTAATCTTAATAAAGTGATTTTTTTAATCTTTCAATTCTAATTTTGTTAACAAAAAATACTAATGTTAAACTTCAAATATTGATAAAATATTTTTAAAAGTTATATTAAATTTAATTTTTAAAATAACAATAACTGTTACAAAAAAATTATCATCTTATACTAACACTGCTACGGCTAAAGAAATGAAAAAATATCTTTTAAATTTAAGGAACGATGATGTAAGAAGATCAAAAATTCACGTTTGCCTTTAAAAAATAATGCGTTAAATTTCAAATTTTAAAGTACTTATATATGTGTGTGTGTGGATCTCCTTTAGTTAATTATTAATAGGCATTGAAATGTTTGATCTTTTAGTTGGAACAGTGACATGTTTGATAATTCTATTCATATGATGGCTTTAATTTGATATTGCATATTATTAATATCTCTCTGTGCATGTGACTGCAGCTTTGTATTATTGAAGGACGCCATGTAACATATATTTATCTTCTTTTTATAGTGATTGCATTTTGTCCAAACAATAACGAAGTGCACATTTATAGATTGTTGGAAGACAAATGGGAAAAAGCTCATGTTCTTCAAAAGGTTAGAACTCTTCCATATTTCCCATATCTAAACATATATTTAAAAATAAAAAATAAAACTACACGTTTTGGGACCAGGTAAAAAAAAAGAAAAAAAGAAATGATTTAAGATATTCTATGGACTTTATGACCTTAAGTTTTGACTTTTGTGTTAATAGTTGTTAATGGTAGCTTTAATAGAATGGCTATAAAAAACTCTAAGGACTCAGTAAAAATGTGTTCTGTTTTAATTAGTTTTTGTCCTGCCTTTGGGTTTTCAACTTCATATCTCTTGCTTTTTTGAACTTTTACTTCTATTATGGACAGCAGAAAATGAAGACGTCTTTGTATACTGTCTGATTGAAAAAGATATCAATATCCTTTCAATATGTAACATTATCTATACTCTTATTAAACGATGCCCCTTCAACCTCAGTTCATCAATTTATTCAATTTGGAATGTTATTGAAAATAATTCAAATAACATGACACTTCCGTAATCATTTCTCGCCCATCTGTTCTTATACCATCTTCAGAGCACAGTGAACAATCAAGCCATCCACTCATGAACCTAATCGCTGAGGTTGGACCTGCTACGCATCTTTCTTTTTTAAAGCGTATATTATTTGATGGCAACCAAAGGAAATGGTAACGTAATAGTTCTGCTATGTCTCTTGTTCTGATACTACCTCCTGTCCTTAATAGAAGAACTAGTTGATTAATTTGAGTAGATTAAAAAAATTAGTTAAGTTAGTTATTTATAATAAATAAGTATTGTTTTTCTTAAAATATCTTTACTAATCAAGTGTATTGGTTAGAACTACCATCGTTATAATAACTACTTTGGGAAAAAAATAGATAAATACGAGACATAAAGTGGATTGAGGTATTATATTTAGGACCATAAAAAAAGTCAAACGAGCTTTTATATTAAGGAGTGAAGATAGTATTATTTGCTGATGTTGACCAAAAAAAAAGATATATTATTTGTTGATGGAATCTTCTGAATAATTTCTAATCAAATTTCTTTGTTTTGTCGCAGCATGACCAAGTAGTTTGTGGGATGGACTGGAGTAATAAATCAAACAGGATAGTTACTGCATCCCATGATCGCAGTTCGTGAGTGCCTGTGCTATCTAAAAAAACTAGACCCTCTAAAGCTTCATTCGTTAATATACAAGTTCATGACTTAAGCTGGATAATGGAGTTAATAATTTCTTTTTTTCCCCCCACCATTAATAATAAAACTGCATCATATTTATATTTGTGTAGATATGTGTGGAACTTAGAAGGATCAGAATGGGTGCCAACTCTCGTTGTTCTTAGGCTAAACCGAGCTGCTCTGTGTGTTCAGTGGAGTCCAAAAGGTAGGAATGCAACTTTCTTCTTAGATAAAATTACATACGCGTCCTAAGTGAGAAATTTAATTACTAATGCGTCCCATTTACATGCATGTTATCACTTTCTTCTTTCCTACTTCATTTCCTTTTCGAGGTGAGACGCAAAAAACATGCTCCACTAATAGTGAAAACTAATCAAACGTAGACTTCTCTTAATTAGATTTGTTATACATACAACGGTAGGAATTAAACTCCTAACTACTTACTTAAATTACAGGAGCTTTTACCACTCACACCAACTTGAGTTCGTTACTAGTTTTTTTTTTCTGTTCATTAGAAAATTCAAAATTTAATCCTACAACAATAGATTCCAAGTCAATTCAGATTGCAAGGAACACAAGTTTGAGATAAAGGCAGTCCCATCATCAATTATCCTATAGAATATCAGTCCACTGCTTTATACCATAAAAACAAATAAAACCAGTTTATTAACTAAGCATTTCTCTTCTTTTGTGAGACTCATAATTATAGTGCATTTTACCCAATTATATACTGCAGAAAATAAGTTTGCAATTGGAAGTGGGGCCAAAACTGTCTGTATATGCTACTATGAACAGGAGAACAACTGGTAAGCCAACTCTTCCCTAGATCTCAAGACTTCCATAAGAACTCTTCCTTTCCTGTTACAAATATTACTTGCTAACTATAATATAGCAAGTTTGCCTTCTTATTCATTCAAATCTGTTTGTATATGCTACTATGAATGTGGAACTTTCTATATTTAGCACATATATGTTTCGATTTGCTCCTCCCTCGCAGGTGGATCAGTAAACTCATCAGGAAAAGTCATGATTCTTCAGTGACAAACGTTTCATGGCACCCAAATAATGTTAGCATTCATCTTATTTTCAATTATTAGATTTGATGCTTTTGTCACAATTGGAATCATCTTTGTCTTTCATATTAATTCCATTTTTCTGACTACAGATTCTTCTTGCAACAACGTCTACAGATGGAAAATGTCGAGTATTCTATACCTTTATAAAAGGTGTAGATACAAAGTAAGATAAAGAAACAACTCTGAAAAAGGATTGACTTATGCTATGTCCTTTTTATGCTTGTTTCATATTATTAAAGGTTGCTTCATAAATTGCTGCAGGGATTCAACAACGCCAGAAACTAAATTTGGAGAGGTCCTATCAGCCTACTATTCTCATCCGGATTCTCTATGTTGTTTCAAATTTTATGGCATGCTTGATTAATGCAGCATAGCTTCTACTCGTGTTGTTTTTCTTATGTAACAGTTAATTGTTCAACTTGATCTCTCTGTGTCCTGGACGTTTGGTGTCAAATGGTCACCAAAGGGCAAAACTTTAGCTTACGCAGGTCAGAAAATTCTCCTTCATGGAAGCGAAATTGAGGCTATAATTTATGTTCTTTCAACTTAAGATTTCCGCTCAAGTTTTGTTGATATCTTTATTCTTTCCATTTATTGCTTGAGATTATACCTTATTTATCAAACAAAATAGTGAGTACTTTATCTTTTTCCTGTATTAATTACAGGTCATAATTCGATTATATATTTTGTTAACGACATTGGTTCCTCTCCTGTGACCCAAACTGTTGCTTACCGTGATCTGCCCCTCTGTGATGTGGGTCAGCATCCATTCTCTATAAACCTCTTCACGAGCATCTTTTCTGGTTTCTTGTAATCATACTACGTTCATGTTCCGTGAAACTGGTTCATTATAGTATGACATATCTTTCAGGTTTGTTTTATTTCTGAGAATATGGTAATTGGTGTTGGATTCGACTGCGTCCCATTGGTTTTTGCTAAAGATGAAAGGGATAAATGGTATGTGAAACTTCTGCATATTTGTATTTTTTTTCCCCAGATTTAGACCTTAATTATCTGAAAATTGAAACACTGAGCCTTCTGTTAATGTCAGAAGAACTTCCACGTTACTAAAAAAGAGATATAAGTTTAATGTCTTGTTGTTTTAGGTTAAAACGCATTATCAAACTCACTCACATGTTGCTCTCTGTCAGTCTTTAACATCCTCTATTTATGGACTATAAATCTCATACTAGATTTACATAATTTTTTCTCTTAGTTTTTTTATGGTTTTGTTGCCTAGGAAATTCGTCAGATGCATTGGGGAAAAAAGAGCAAGATCATCTAGCTTAAAATATGCATCACAGGTTACTACTTCGCCTACACTGGACTCTGCTTAATGCACAGCACAGCTTTTAGAAACAGGATCTCAATCGAAAATCATAATTCACATTTTTTCTTCTTCTTTTTCATTAACTAACGCATGACTTTGATGAGCATATCTCAATTGAAAATAGAATGCATAAAAAATACAGTTTTCTGATAGTTAATCCATGATTTTTTTTTTTTATCTCCCACCTACCAGCTTCTACACTATTTCCCTTTATCTAGTTGTGTTGGCTCTGCAGTACACCGATATATTTGGCAGATTTATTGGTCAATCCAAGGATGAAGTGACAGTGGAAGCTTCAAAAGAAAGTGAGGGCTTTCATGACAAGTGTATCAAGTATTCACCTTCCTCATCACTTCTCTAATGAAAATGACATGTATTCTTCTTCAAAAAGACGGGGGAAAAAAAATAGTGACAATTACTTTACTTCAGGTTGTTAGACATATGTTTTTTAAGGTAGATTCTGACTAGAACCTTGTAAACAAAGAAAGCTAGCCATATATAGGAGAGCTTTAGATTCAAGTGGATGAATTGAATCAACTAAATCTAAAGGTTTGAATGATGATCAGTGTGTTTTTGTGGAACATGCAGCTGTGTGTTGCCTCTGAGGGGCCGTGGGACATTGATAAAGCGTTTCAGCACATCAGGTTAGTCATATTAAAAAGGGTACTTAATTGTATTTAAATTTGTTGAAGTTCATCTCTAGTTTTAATTTTTTTTTTTTTTTGGTTAGATAAATTTCTTTGTGGCAAATTTCACTAATACTCACTCTTAAACTGTGTAGGTTTGGATGGGAGAGTCATCATATGGGATTTGGAGAAGCAGGAAGACCTTGCTGAATACATTTTAGGTCCTCTTTAAGTTGTCTTTCTCGTCAAGTGCAGCATTTTCCTTTTAGGGTATTGTTTTGAAAAGGTTGGCTTGAGCTTTTTTGGCCGCTAGAGTTCTTCTTCTTCTTCTTTTAAAGATAAAGAAGCAAGCTCAAGCTTGAAAAAATAAGATCAAGCTCAAGCTTGATCATCTACGGTCCTTAATGAATGATTTAATTTGAGAGTTGATGTTAGTCTTACATGCGAGACCTATTTTACATGTTTATTAATTTTTTCCAAAATTAACTATATTAATATTCCTTCAACAACAATCAAATAGAAGAAGAAGAAAGGAAAAAATATATATATATCATATTAATTAATTTAACTAATGTTCTTAATTTACTCAAATTAGTTAATTAGGTTTTACACCAAGGATTATACATGTGAGGGATTATCTCTAAACGTAGGACTTTGTCTTTAGATACAAAGAGATCAAGCCTACTACGTACTGACCTCTTTGTATGTCTCTCCACCAAAAGGAACCTGCACTTGGAGAGAACTCCAAGTGTCAATAATTTTAAATTGAATAATAATATTTCATAGATTTTTTTTCCTTTTTTTAAAAAATGCAAGACACAAAATTGGTATTTTTTGTTGGATGGTTTGTGGAAACTGAAATGTTATTTTCCTAGTATATTTTATTCATATTAGAATAAAATGATAGATTGTTGAACTATGAAAATATGAAAAAGGATAGGACAGAGTTTTTGTTTTGGCCATCCACTGCGAAGGATTTTGAATCGCAACACGACAATGCCGTCAATAATATCAAAATGTTAACAGTTTTATAATTAATGCATGACAACATATTTTATGAATATAAAGCTGACTTGAGATAGAAGACCCATATTAGAGTTACTGAGATATCGATATTAAAAATTAAAATTATCTACATTATTTATTATGTTTAACTAATAATTGTAATTACAAATACTTATTTTAATATTTTATTGTTAATAATAACTACAAAACAATCATTTTATTATTTTTTACGTTAACGACATTTAGTTATTTGTTCTTTTTTAATCAAATCACTATTTTTATCCTCCCGACCGCAAATTTACCCATTAGTTTTTCTTTTATCAAAAAACATTTTATTTTCATTAACCTTAATATTTACAGTGAGACGTTAAAATGTTTTTTCTTAAAAAAATAAAAAAAGGTCGTTTCTCATCTATGGTTGATTTCGGAAAAACCCGCACAGCAATTCGGCCACTGGTTCTTCGCTTCTGTGGGTGTCTCTGCAAAATGCTATCCGCACTACAGTCTCCTCGCTCCCTCTCTCGCTTCCCGCTCTTCCATTCTTCAAAGCCCTTCCTCTTCCATTCTTCTTCTCATGCTCTCTCCTATGCTTCCCGCACCGACCAATCCACCACCACCACGTCTTCTTCGACCTCCTCACCCCCACAATCCCAAATACTCACCACGCGCCACTCCCTCCTCTCCCGCCAGCTCACCGCCACCGAGGTCGCTGAGTCATATCTAGCTCGCCTCCGACTCACTGAGCCCCAACTCAATTCCTTCCTCCACGTGTCCGATTCGGTTCTCCGAGAAGCTCAGGACTTGGATAGGAGAATCGCGAACAATGAGGAAGTTGGCCCCTTGGCTGGAGTGCTTGTCGGGGTTAAGGATAATCTTTGTACGTCGGATTTGCCTTCCACTGGTGGGTCCCGCATTCTCGAGGGGTACCAGCCACCGTTCGATGCTACGGCGGTGAAGAGAGTGAAGGAGCTGGGAGGGATTGTCGTCGGAAAAACCAATATGGATGAGTTCGGTATGGGCAGCACCACCGAAGGCTCTGCGTTTCAGGTTCTTTGGTTTATTTAGAGAAGAGTTCTCGTGTTTTTCAGTCTAGAAAAGCACTCAAAATGTATCATTTTGCTGTATATACACACTTTTACCCGGGGAAAGCGTTGAATTTATTCTATGCCAGTAAGTTTATCATAGTTTGGAACTCACTACACATTATCATTTCGAGTTTTATATTTACTCCACTGAGTAGGACCTGTGGAAAATTGATTAATTTCGAGGAATAAATCTGAGTACTGAAGGAGATTTTTTGTTGGCGATCAAATTATATATTTATTCAATATTTTGTGCTACATTCGTTCTTTATTTAAATTTTTTACCGTTAAAAGTTCCTGATTTTTTGAAAATCCAGCTTGTAGTTGGCGCACAAATGTGAGGGAGGGAATTTCAAGCTGCTACTTGATTTTGGACTTTTTGTGTTTTGAAACGTTGATTCTCAATTCTTTTTCTGAAAAATGAGAATTTCACAGTTCGTTATTTGGCAATGTTATAACAGCCCATTTGTAACTGGGATTGGTTTACTCAGGTGATGCATATGTTCATTCAATAGGTGACTGCCAACCCATGGGATATCTCTAGGGTGCCGGGAGGATCATCCGGAGGCTCAGCAGCTGCTGTTTCTGCCAGGCAGTGCATGGTATCACTGGGAAGTGATACCGGTGGAAGTGTGAGGCAGCCAGCATCATTTTGTGGAGTTGTAGGATTGAAGCCAACATATGGACGTGTCTCACGATTTGGACTTATGGCATATGCATCATCACTTGATGTGGTTGGCTGCTTTGGTTCCTCAGTTGCGGATGCTGGGATTCTCCTTCATGCAATTTCTGGTCATGATCGGTTTGATGCTACTACAAGTAAGCAAGTAAGGATTTCTTGGATCTGGTACTGCTCTTTTAGCATGTAAACCATATATTCTCTCATTATTGATCAGGTTTTTTAACGTCTGTGTAATTTCTCATGAAGATGTATAATTACTGAGATCATTGAATGAAATATATATATTTTTAATGGCAAAGTTATTATCTGACATTAAGTTAATTTATTAACACTGAATAATTTCTTCTCTCAGGATGTACCCGATTTTGCATCTCATTTTGCCCCAGCAAGTTCCTTGGAAAGTAAGCCCTTGAAGGGACTGAGAATTGGACTGATACGTGAAACTGTTGAAGACGGGGTTGAGAGTGGAGTAGTTTCTGCAATTCGTGCTGCTGCTTTGCATTTTGAGGAATTAGGATGCTCTGTTAATGAGGTAAATCTCTTTTTTTAGAATTTGCTAATTCCTGTTGTATTTTAAAAGTTATATTATAAAGTCTTGGGCAAGAACTTTCTCTTGCCAACCCGCAGGTCTCACTGCCATCCTTTTCCCTTGGGTTGGCAGCCTACTACATCCTTGCCTCATCAGAATCTTCTTCCAACTTGTCTCGCTATGATGGTATTAGGTAAGGACAATCTATTGAAACACGCACCTTCTTTCGGATTTCAACAGTTTTGGATAAGCCTTTTAGGTTTCCTTTGAGCCATTTGTATTTGCATTCAGATATGGAAAACAAGTTTTTGCTGATGAGCTGAGCTCTCTTTATGGAGATTCCCGTGCTGAAGGTTTTGGTTCTGAGGTACTCGCCTTTCAGACATCTGTAGCAGGGAGCTTTTTCTGTTTCCTGTTCTTCTGCTATTGATATAAATGTGAAGCTGTGAATAGACTTTTTAGCATATAAGCCTATCAATCAAACGTTCAAAAAACTACTCCCTTCGTTCCTTATTATAAGAACAAATAACCAAATTACGTTGATAAAAAAACAGTTAAAATGAGTTGAGGACAATTAATATGTAAAAAGTATAATTTTTTTCAACAATACCCCTATTAATAAGGAGAGAAGTATGAGAGAGAACAATTAAATTATTAAAAGAAAGAGAAGTGGGAGGGAGAAAGAGTATGAGTTGGAGACAAAATAAATAGGGGTAAAATAGGAAATCAATACAAAAAGAGAGACAACTTTAAATGTCTCTTATACATGGGAACATGCCATAAGCATCAAATGTCTCTTATAATAAGGAACGGAGGGAGTAAATTCAATTCCTTGTTGATAGCGTGGTTGATTCTGTGTGTCTGTGTAAATTGTTAGGTGGATTTTTATTTCTCAAAAGAAATTTTCTACAGTTGTCCTGTGTTTATTGAACTGGTTTTCAAATACATATTGCAGGTCAAAATGAGAATTTTGATGGGAACATATGCCCTTTCAGCTGGATATTATGATGCATATTACAAGCGTGCACAGCAGGTAACTTAATATTTTTTTTGGTTTTTTTTTGTGGGTGACTGTTGTCTTAACCTGATGGTGAAGAATTTATCCCAAAAGATGTACATTATGTACATATTTTGCTTTGTCTGTATTTGTATGCATGTGTGTACATACTTACATTACATACATATTTATAGGTGTATGTATGGATATTCAAGACGATACATATGCCTGTTTGTTTTTTCAGGTCAGGACCATAATTAGGAATAGCTTCAAGGAGGCATTAAACCAAAATGATGTCTTAATTTCACCTGCAGCTCCGTCACCTGCTTATAAGATTGGTGAATACCTGGCATCTCTTTTGCTTGTGCATTCAATAATCCTAGCCCCTGAAGTTCAGGACCTGAGGCGATATTCTGTCATTGCCTTTTTGCAGGGGAAAAGAAAAATGATCCTTTGGCAATGTATGCTGGTGACATAATGACTGTGAGCATTTCCTACTTCTCTTGACTTAACTTTCTATCGCAAGCTTCAATGATATAAGAACCAATCAAATTATGTCAGTGTGAGCTTAAGTGTAAGTTTGTGCTACCTAAGTATTCTTGAATAGGAATATAAAATATGAAAAATAAATAAATAAATAAATCTCCAATAGTTGACCACTATCTATATTCAAAGTCAGTGATAAAAAGGTCTGGTCCCAAGAAGATAGATATGCTTAATCCCTACTGTGACGACTTATAATAACTATAAATAGTTTAGAAAGCCTTTCTCACCCCCCCCCCCAAAAAAAAAAAAAAGTTTGCCTGCTAGACTGAAAGCTAATTTTTATGGCGAAGATATGTGTTATTTTTTTAACTCAATATGCCACAAAGACTCATGCCAAATTACTCATGCAAACTGAAAGTCTTTTTTTTTTTTTTTGGATGCTCTTGAAGTTTCATTATGGTTGATTCATATGAATGAACACTTGACTAATCTTTGTCTTCCGTTCATGGTTTGCTGTTTCCACAGGTAAATGTTAACCTAGCTGGACTACCGGCCCTGGTTTTGCCATGTGGATTTGTTGAGGGGGGAAGTGCAGGCCTTCCTGTTGGTCTGCAAATGATAGGATCGGCATTTTGTGAGGTAATTGATTCTGTAGTCATTGGTGGAGTTTCTCTATGTTGATGTTTGATTTTCTTTTTCTTTTTTTGGTCATTGATTTCTGCAAATAATAATAGAAAAGACGGCGTTTTATTCATTAGAATTCTTTAAAATGCTTTTGTAGATGACTGAATATAATTCATGCATAGAGAACTTTGGAAACCGCAGCTACATGATAATGGGCTGTAGTGTAACTTTCTGGTAACTTCCGGAGGTTTTAAGAAAATGGAATGAAGGGAATTGGGGAGGTTTGATTAACAGAGCAGAAATCTTTATCAGATTATGAAGCAGAATCTGAAGTTTATCTAACAAAGCCAGTTTATAATCTTAGATTATATTTTGTGACTGAATAGTATATGTCTCCTTTATCATTCTCTATGCACATATATAAAGTATGATACCTTCACAGCCTAGGACACACGGCATTTAACAAAAACACATGGCAGATCACATAAAAGGAGCTATGACATCTGTCCTAAAAATACTAAATAAGCAAAACTAAATGAAATTTGGCATTTCTTGTACACAAGAATGTGCTGTTTGTCTGTTTTGAGTCTGAATCTGGAATGTTATGCAAATGATTACGTTTATAACATAATTTTGGTGGAACTGAATGCCTTGCAGGGAGAGCTGCTGAGAGTGGGACACATCTTTGAGCAAACTCTTGAAAATTGTAACTTTGTTCCACCAATCGTAGCTGATAACTCTGCATAACGGAGTACAAAAGATCATTGTACTTTTGACAATCTTGAATTATTTCATTGATTTCTAGACAAAGCAGCGGCTTCCAGAGATTTTTCCATACTGGTGAACATGAAATTATAAATCTTGAGGAAGAACTGGTTCGAACACGATACCAGATGTTTCTGTCACATGACTGGAAATGGATGATTGAGTGCTGGAATGACTGAACAGTTGAATTGGATTTGTTAATTGTCCACGACATTCTGAGAAGTTATTTGACTAGAGCAGGAGGTTCCGCTTGCATTGTCTGTATTTGGTAAGCAGTATTTCATTTAATATTTTGGTTGGATCAGTTGGATTCTTATGTATTTAATGATAAAGTGTACTCCCTGCGTTTCTCATTTTAAGATTCAATTTTTTGAATAGGTTTGGCCCTTTTTATAAGATTCTCTGAGTTTGTCTAAACATTTAATGTAATATTACTTATTTTATCTCTAATTTAATGTATTTGATACATTCTCTTTCTTCATTTATCTCACTATTACTCTCCCAAATTTATTCATTTATATATAGGGGTATATTTAGGGGAAAAAAAACTGCATTTGCTACATATTAATTACTTTTAACTAATTTTAACTATTTTTTAAACCATGTAATTTAGTTAAAATAATTTTATAATAAGAGACGGAATAGTAACGGATTGATGCCGCTCGTGCTGGTACCTACCAGCTCGGCCTTTTATTATGCTGCTAGTGTACCTACCAATTGTTTAAGTTCAATTCTTTTTGAAGCATTTTCACAAGTATGAACGTAAGGATATTTTTTTTTTTCCCAGAGCGGGATCCACTTGAGAATAAGTTACACTAATGTTTCTTATTTTCTTAGCTAGTTAAAAGGTCAAGACGGTTCTAAACCAAACTATCATGCGCTCCTTCCATCCTCATTATTCAACATTTGAGATTCTGTCCCACAAAAAAAAAAACGAGATCATATATGTCTGTCTTTATTCCATTCAAAATCTTTTTATTTTTTTCAATATTGCAAGGCTAACATGCAATCTAAGAGACCTATGGTTGAAGGGCTGCAATTCTATGAATCACCATGCATTTTTCACTTTGTTTCCAAAATCCCAGGTGTTCGGAACTTAAGAGAAAACTCGATACAGTTGAGAGCTGTCAACTTATGGTACCGGTATGTACCTTGAGATTTAAAACAATAAAAAAATGTAGATCCCATATTTATTACTGCCTTCTCTTTTTAATACAAAACTGATAAATTAAAGAAATTAAAAAAAATTAGTTAAGTTAATTATTTATTAAAAATATGTATTGATTTTTTTAAAATATCTTATGAATTCATTTGAATTGAAATTACTTTTTGATTTGATATAAACTCATGTAACGTGCGGTGAATAGAGATTGTTTGAAAAGGAAAAAACATAAATTATGAGGAGAAAATATATTGAGATTTTACATTTAGAGGTTAATTTAACTTCTAAGTAGTTCTTATATTAAGAATCAGAATAGGTGATATATATTTTTTCACTTTAATTTCCCCACAAATTTTTTTGGAGCCCCACATTTTCGCATCTTCTATCAAATATCAATTATATAAAAATTTTAAAAAAAATAAAAATAAAAAAGGAAAAAAATTGAGGGTTACTAATAAACTGTTCATCAATAGTACAAAAAATCATCAAATTTTATTTCATATATAGATATAGATTTTAGGGAGAATTACAATTAATTCCTAAAAAAATTATTACTAAAATATTGTAATAACAATCTAAATAATATGTAACGACAGATTTTAGAATGGAGAATGATAACATTTGATATTTGTTTTGTAATTTTTTTTCTTGGGACTTCATTATAATTCCCTCTAGATTTTAATATGTTTTAAAATTAAGGAGCCAATTTAAAAGATCATATAAAATTAAGGAATAAGACTAATAAATCCATTTAAACTATAATTATATTCTCGTTATCAAAAGAAATCAGTTCTGGTGACTCATAATCCATTGGCCTTTATAAGGAAATACTATAAAATCTTTATATACAATTGATTTCACTGTTGATTTGGTGTGCTTATGATGCCCATCACTTATTGGAACCAACCAACTTAATATTAAGTATGAACAGGTTTACATTCAATTTATTTTATTGTTATATATTTGATATTTTTATCGTAATAGATTCTCCCTACTATAAACAATTTTTAAGGATAATGAATTTATCATTAAAAATTTCAAAAATAAAATATATAATTTAAACTTAAAATATAAATCTAAATTAAATTTAAATGGCTCAGATAAATAATCAGCACGGCAAACACGGACGCAAGCTTCTCATTATTAGTTAAAAAAATTTTAAAAATTGGTGAAACTGTTTTGAGATAACTCTAGAAAAAATTTCACACAATAAATTAAACTGTAAAAATTATTAAAATGGTCCATGATTTTTATTTAAATTAAAATCTATTTACAACAAATTTACCGGTTTACCCATAATATGACTTCGTGTGTTTGAGCTGACAGAAACCTACCCCTAACTCTAGCTGTAGTGTTCTAGGTAATATCGGAAAGGAACAGTGGAATTCTCCCACGCGCGAGATTGCTTCGGTGGTTGCGAATCGCGGCGCGAATCTCTTTTTATCCGGCTGTGAGAGGACCGCGCCTTCTCACATTAATTGAAGAAAAATCAAAGGAGGCGCGTGTAATGCACGCCCCTCAGTCCTCTGTTAGGGCTTTCTCTTCCTCCGTGGTCGTTGGCTGATACGGCTCCTGGGCGACTTCGCTGTGGTTGTTGTTCGTCGAATCCGATCTACGTTTGATCAGATTACGTCCTGTCGAATCTTAATCTGTGAGCATGGCGGTTGATTTAATTTCCTGTTAATCGATCTAGCTTCTCCTTGTCTGTTGAATCTTTTTTTTTTTTTTTGGGATGATTGTTGGTGCACGGTCTGGTCAGATCTGATCTGATTAATTACGGTTTTCATAATGTAAATTCTATTTAGGTTTTCTGGGAATTTCGATTACTGTTAATAACATACTCTGATTGATACCTGAATTTTCTGCTGAGAATGGAAAAAATCCTTATTCATCTTCTGTTGCATTTATCAAAGAACAAAATTGGTGCCTGGGTTTTCTTAGCTGCCTAAGAAATCATTGTTCTGAAGAAAAAAAAGGCTCTGCTTTCAGAAGGCGAAATTGTGCTAGTTTGACTTTTAGTTGGGTTGGACTCAATGGATAATCGGATTTTAATAAATCTTTTATCTTTTGATTTTATCAGAGTTGGTACAAGGGGAAGAGATCAAGAAACATGTTTGGGCGTAAGAAGATACCATCACTGGTAGATCTTTGTGTTCAGAAAACAATCGATAATGTGAGGTACTTAGGAAACGTTGGTGAAACTGATGCGCATCTGCTTGAGCGAATATTGCCACACTGCACACTTGATCAATTGATGCATGTGGAAAAGTCAACTGAAGTAAGAAAGTTTGTTTTATTATTTATAAGAATTATAATTATGCTTGAATATTGCAAGTCTCAACTGTTTCCTCTGATATGCTTTTTCAGGGAAGAGACCTGAGTCCCATAACTGATAAGTTATGGAAGAGATTTTTTGAAAAGGAGTTTGGTACACATTGTACTAATCAAGTAGTTAAAAGAATGAAAGATAAGAAAGTGACATACAAATGGATACAGTTATATGAGGTGCGATTTCTTTGGGGTTTATATCTGATTATAGAAAGGGCTTTTTGTTGAATTTTACCTTTTTTAAGCTTAAAACACGAATTATCAGTTGTGCTAAGTAGGTGACATCTTTGCAGGCAAAACTAAAGGAAGTGGCTGAAGCTGAGGATAAAGCAGTTGATCGATTGAAGCAACGATACAAGAAATTAGATGACCGTATGATCCTAAACAGTCTCCTCTTTTCTTTAAGCATGATATATTTCCCTTTCCTTCTTACATAGTTTCTGGTAAGGTACATCAGTACCTATAGTAATCCTGTCTCTGACCCTCAGTGAATCTAACCGTGAATATTTTTTGGTACACTATGGGTACCATAGAATTCTTCTTAATTTGATTAGCATTTTTAAAAGTCATGGATCAGCATGCCAATTCTTTTATAGTTAGTTCTTTACTGATTACTTTGTTGAATACTGACCAGTAGTGGGCTTATATAGGGAAACAGAGTAGGCAAGTAAGGCTATGCACCAAAGTTCCGCCTTCAAGTAAAAGAAAATTTTGGGGCGGTAAGTCACTATGTCCTATGCTTCCTAATATCATTTACCAAGTCATCTGCTTTAAATATTTGATCAGTGTTGCAAATTCTATTGATTGTTTAATAATCTGAGATTTTGTTGTAGATGGAGCATCTAGCTATAATGTATCACATTTGAAGAGCAACATACTGAAGAAATCAAAGATAGAATATCTAAAGAGGTAATTTCTTTTTGCTGCATAATGATCTGATGCTTCTAACTTCCAAGGATGTTAGATCAGATAATGAATGCGAACTGGAAATTAACAGGAGCTCAACAGATACTAAGAAAAGGATGATGTAAGCGGTGTTGACATATAGATTTCACCTTGCCATAGTGACTATAATAATGTATTAAGGTGTTCAGAACTGAAACTGTCTATATAATAATGAAGCGTGCTTAGCGTTCTGTCTGGGGAGAAGGTGCTCCGATATTTAACCTCCAAGCTTGTGTTGTCTGCTGACTATTAACTTCCGATTACTTCTAAATTTCTTGCAGTCCTGAAGTGAAAAACCTTGCAGCAATGAAGAAAAATTCTATCCAAAGGAGTCAGAGGTACAATACATACATACATACATATATATATATATGACATTACCTTTTGTTCTGTTGGTAGAAGCTGCTTTGTGGGGTTTACTCTAATTATTTTTTAGAATGCGGGTGCATGTTTGTCATCTGTGTAACCCTGCCAGCGATGGTCAAACCCCCCCCCCCTCTTTTTCTCTATATAGATCTCTATATATATCTGTGCACTCAATTCTCATGCTATGTTTCCATGTCCTGCAGTTCGCCAAGCATGATCAAGAAAGGAGGCATTTCTGGAAGTGGTTCAACTTCAAAACGCCCACTTCTATAGCAAGGGATACATCAGTAGGACTTTGTAATGGTCCTGGAGGAGAGATAGCAATACTATGTATCATAATTTCCAGTTATATTTCTAGGAAAGCTTGGCCTCTTTTTCCAAGCCAATTAATTCTAAATTTCGTTGCTGATATTTATATTTCCCATGTAGATGCATGTTCTGTAACTTGTTACTCTATTATTTTCCTTATAAAAGTCAAATAATTTTTCATATCTTGTGCTGATTATGAAGCTGCTCCTTTAGTGTAATTCGCTGTTAGTTATCCATCTCTTCCAAAATTTTACTGTCAATGGTTTCCGTTGTTTAATTATCCTGAATTTTCATCATCTCAGTGAAATTTCCTATAACCCACTGAATATAGCATTCTTTCGTGATCTCTAAACTCTAATTACACGGCTTCAAAAGTTAGCCACCAAGTGCGATCCATTGTACTAGGTAGTAGATCGTTGTAAAAGAATAACAAAAGTGATATAAGAATATAATTAAAACAGCGTAAAAAATATAATACACCTTAAATCTAAATCTCGGCAATCAATGAATGAGCGGACCCCGCCCATTAAGCGTTAGACGCTTGGACATGCTTTAAATTCAATAAAATATTGTTAGCTTTGGAAGTGTCAATAAAATAGTGTGTTGGTGAGAACGACAGCTTGATCAGTGTGAAAATACTCCCCCAGTCTTAAGTATAAGACATTTTTTATAGTATAAATTATATTACAAAAAAGATCTTATATTTAAGACTAAGTTTAGGTGTTACACTTGTTTCTTGCACTCTGCTTTTTAAGGCTTTCATGATATCAGCAATCGTTTGGCGTTACTTAGTGGTTAGATAGACGAAACACATCACATCTTGTCATTATTGAGTGAGTTAAAAGCTCATCCTCGTGATCATTAGATTTTTCCAGAAAACAACATTTAGTTCAAACTTGCCAAATCATCACCTCGAGGGGAAAACTTAGCTACAAGGAAGTGAAGTTGCATTTCATTTCATATATGAACTGTTGTATAGTTGATGTTGCGCTTGTGTGCCCATTATGAATCATTAAGAATTCCCAGTCAAACTACCTAACGGTAATAAATGGATATTTGAGGGGTGTCAACGTCTTTACCCTCATCATCCTCACAGGCGACCACAACGTCGAAGTGTCGACGGTATGCAGGGAGTTCCACCTTGGCCACTTCTCTAACTAAATCCACCAGTTTTTCGTCCATTCGCTCCTGGTGCTTAGGGAACATTTTGTTGTAGATCAGGGATTTTCCGGATGAAACGCTATAAGCGTTTAGGCCTTTCTTCTTCATCCACTCAAGAAGTCCCCTCACAGTAACATTGTCATACAGAAACCACCTATCCCAAATTGTCCAACTCATACCCTGATGTTTGTGAACCTTGGGTGGAAGTGGCTCAAACACTGAGTAGAGAGGGAGTGCGAGGTTAGCGTATGTGTTTCGATAGTCCTCGACTTTGTGCCCTCTGTCCAAAACTTTGTAGAGCTCCAGGCAGACGAGACCAGTGGCCATGGCGGTTGAGGTTGCAATTGCAGGAATGATAAGTCCTGCAATCAACTTGGCCTTAAACTTGTCAACCTCAGGAATGTTGTAGTTTCTAGCCCTCAAGTTGGCAAGCCCAGCTATAAGGTCCGTGTGGTAGTTGGTATTATCATCCTGCAGGTATCAGAAAAATTATAACAGTCAAGCGAATTACATGGATTATGAGGCTGGAATAAGAATAATGACAATCACAGAGAATAACAGACCTTCTCAAACTGGATTAGTTTCATCCCGAAACCTGGCGGTAGGTTTGCCCGGAGCTGCTCTAATTTGAATATTAGAGCGTCAATAACAGCTGCATCATCTCCTGAGAGACTTGTAGAATTCTCATCTGTCACTATCCGCACATTTTTCTTTGGTTTAAAATCTGGTATTATCACTTCATCAATTGCTTCAGCCAGCTTCCTCGTGTTCTTCACCCAATCAGGGATGGGAATGCCAAATGTTTCTGCACGCAGTATAGATGCTGCCATCACAAACTGAAGATGACCTGGATCAGAAGCTGAGAACTGCAGTGGACGAGGGAATCTTTTCGGAGCAGACCAAAACGGAACTCCAGTACTAGTTAGAGCATCCTCAGGAAAATTGTAAATCAACTGCTTCACCCGATTAGCAAAATAATCTTCAAACCTGTGATAGAAACAGAAATGGAGAATCATCACACACCACTACACATTACATGATTTACAGAAGAGAACAAAAAGGTGCGATGAAAGTTGCATACTTTCGCCGAGCCCATGTAACACAGGCTTTAAAGGTCTCACACTTTTCCCTATGAAGGCACTTGAAAACACGCTCCAAGTTGTCCCTTGATGAAAAATCATTAGATTTCTTCATTGCATTAGCATATTCAATTGGGCTGGACAAATAAGCATTTACTTCAGCTGGCGTTTTCTCAAACAATCCCTCAAATTCAGATCGAGCCCATGTCAGGCAGTGGTCAATGTTGTGTGGAAATGATTGCACAGTACACATTGGTGTCATTTTCTCGGGAGGATCTCTAGAGGCAGCATAATTTTCTGTCAGGTGGGGAATGACCATCTGGGTATTGCATTTTGCTCCCAGAGTTCCTGATTCTAGGAGAGGCTTTTGGAAATACAAGCATCTCTGATCGACATACAGTCTAGCACTCACATTGTCTAGTGCATTAATCACAACACTCAAGTTTCCCCAAAACGTGTCATCAAACACGTTTTCAGTTTCAGGTCCAACACGTTTTTGCAGTGCTTCAATATTCAGAGAAGGATTTATAGAAACAGCAGCTGATGCAGCAACAGTAGACTTAGCTTGTCCGATATTCCAATCACGAAAGAGCAACTGCCGGCTTAGGTTACTCTTCTCAATAACATCATCATCAGTAAGTGTCAGCTTCCCCTGACTTCCACAAGAAACTCCCATCAGGGCGAGATTCTTCAGGAACTCACATCCCAAAGCACCAGATCCGATGACAAACACTTTAGCTTCTTCTAATTTCTTCTGTAACCGGGATCCGAAAACAGATATTTGTGCATCATAACGGCTATTTACTGCTCTAAAATCATTGGGATCAAGTGGTTCGGTAGGAAGTGATTCCACTGAGTCATAGTAGAAATACTGCAGCACAAGAAAGAGAAGCTTAAAATACAATCATTAAAATCAGCCAACTTCTTACTAAAACAGGGAATTCAGTGGTCATTGAAAGGAATTTCGTAATTCCTACATGCGATCCAACATGCAACTCTTTCCACAAGGAGACAACAATCCACTTTCAGACTACTGATATTGCGCACGATAGGGAGATTCTATCCAAGACAATAACGCAATGTGATAATTTGAAGTCCTCCGCCTTGCACATAGTCATGCAGCTAACTTTTTACCAAAGGAAAGCAGAAAAAACAATGAATAACAAACTACAACTATTCACATTAGCTCATTCTCAATCTATCCAAGACAATAACGCAATGTGATAATTTGAAGTCCTCCGCCTTGCACATAGTCATGCAGCTAACTTTTTACCAAAGGAAAGCAGAAAAAACAATGAATAACAAACTACAACTATTCACATTAGCTCATTCTCAATTGCTCTGGACAATTGGATCCAAGAACAGGCAGACAATCTTTCATCAGGACTCAGTGTGCTTAATCATGTAAAACGACCCAAACATCAAACCACAGCACAATCAAGATGAGCACTCGGAAGTCATACTGACCTGAAAAAGTGGATGAAACTTCCCAGTGCATGCTTTAACAATCTCTTGTCCAACAATACCACCAAACAGGGCAGCCATAGGGTTCAAAACTGCCCTAGAACCGAAGGCAAAGTGCCTCAGAAGTTCTGGTTTCATATCATCCAACTTCTCATCCAACAAGGTGTCATTAATATTGCAGGCAATAGATATAAGCTTCTGCGCGTCATCCTCTGAACCAGCAACAGGAAAACGACCAAACTCGGAGACAAACTTATCCAAAGCCCAGAATGCTAAGTGAAGCAGTGGCGGGTGATCATGCTTGGAAAAATCACTGAGAAGAAAATCATAAGGATCACTGAGTGATTCTCTGAGTGTCTTAAATTTCAACACCGTTGGCTCTTTCACCTGTGTGACAATTCCCCCTTTTTCATAGGTACCATAATGTGTAGTGTCTTCTTCAAGAAAAAAAGAATATGCGCCAGCATTTCTTATTTTCCTTGGTCTTCCATCATTCAGTTGTGTCATACCATGAATTTCAGAGAATACAACAAGATCTCCATCCCGAAATTCAATCCTCTCGTCGTCAACGCAGGATACTAGGGCAGGGTTGTCATTACTAACTGATGCAACTATACCCGTATGGGGTTCCTCTCCATCAACATCAAAAACAGTGAATTCCGGCCCAAAATCACAGAATACAGAGCCGAAAAGGCCTCTGACTTCAGATTTAATGAAAGCAATTGGAGGTTGATGACTGTGGCAGTAATCATTGAACTCCATCGCTTTCTCAAGGCTAATATCAGTGAAAACAACAGCCTGCGAATAAATGTAAATCACATTGAAGCATTTACTTTTTTTTGCATGAACAGACAAACTTTGCTTTAACATTCACAATAAGAACATAAGATAGGCACAGCCTGAGAAGTATATCAGATTAACAAGATAAAGATATATAGAATTAAGGTGTGAAAGTTTCTCCTCTTACGTAGCATCATCATCAATTATTTTCCCACAAAGTTTGTCCACCAGCATATATCAAACAACAGTACAATAGAAGGAATATTATCGTTATTTTATGATCACACACACACACAGCACTAACAACATATTACCATGGTAGTACATCTAGTTAAAGTATGTCCTATACATATATTAAAAAACTGAACCGTCTCTTTTGTATTATTTGATTGATTCACACCACAAAAGCTAAAATGGCTTTCTTGGTGCTCTGCCAGAAGCCTAAACTATTTAGCTTCTCTTGATGAATATTATCTTGCACAAAAACACTTACTAGGGGACTTGTACAAATGGACACTTCTAGGAGGGGAGAAAAAAAACATTGATCATGTAATTAATTACAGGGAAAGAATACCATTCCCTATCGACTAACAAGTGACTTGTCACCAAAGCATGGAAGGTGAAGTCAAGAATATTTCGTGAAAAATATAATCTACCTATCAACACATATCTTGCAAATCAAACATGTTAACATGTGAAATATTGACTCTCCATTTAGATTACTGTATATTTTATTTAATTAATCATCCATTAATTATTAACATGGACAAACATGAGAAAGACAATATGAGGTAATGTTTTAAATGGATGACATCAAGATGCAGCATACAGAGCAAATGATTTCACTATTTACATCTGTAGATATCCTTGAAATCCAAACAAGTCAAAAGGCAAACTATAAAATACTTAATACATAGCAGATATACATATAAATGTTTTTAATAGGACGAAACAAGTGCAAAGAAATATAGGAATAGAAAGAAAGAGGTATGGAAGTACTTGGTAATAAGAAAGTTGTTCCTTTGTCAGCTTCGTTGTCAAACTATGCACAAGAACCGCATTGTTGAGTTCCTGTAACGTACCAGCAGAAGCCACTGCCCTGTTTTTACCAACATCATTCTCTGAAAAAGCAAAATTACTAGACAGATCCCAAAGCTCCACCTTCCCTTCATCATGCAGTGTCACAGATTTGAAACCAGCAAGAATGAGATTCTTGGCTGCAGGTTGTGAGACGCACAAGTTGAATACACTAAAACAACATGGTATTACCAAACTAATGTTACTTGAACCAAATATCAGCAAGATCATGGCCTAAAAAAAGCAATGAATTCATATACCAGCAATAGAGTATCGTAACTATATAGCACAAAATTGAAGATCAGATAATGGCAAGACAGCCTGCCTAGCCTTCGCCTTCTCCCAAAAACGAAGACAGGTAAGATTGGCTAAAAAGATAACGTATATAGATGGAGTTGTCAATGAATATGGCATCGGATAATAAAAATAAGAATCTAAGATTGAACATATGCATCTGGCGATAATAACCAGAAGTATTGATTAGGTAGACAAGATTATAAAAATTGAGAGTTTCACATTCTGCCACTCGATTTTCCACAAAGCGATGCAAAAGGAACGAGGGACCGATACCAATCCCATAATTGACAAATCAACGATTTTATTCTACTAGACTACTACTGAAGCGCCAAGAAAAAGGGAAGAAAACCATTGCTTGTATTTTCGTGGGAGGATCATCTAATCAATATAGCATTTCGGACGCCTAAAATCTAAATATTACCAAAATCCTTGTTCAATAATTACTATATGCCAGATGGAACACAATAGCACACGGAAATTAAGCATTCCATATATGGAAAAGCAATTGAGAAGTTGTTCGATCACAACACCTATCTCGACACCAAGACCCTGCATCCCGGAGACAAGGACATTAGACATGAAGAGCTTCCTCATCGTCTCGCGACCATACACAGCGAGCTGACGGCTGTGCAAATCTTCGTCAATATCGATCGGATTGGAATCACTCAAAGCCATTATCGATGATCCTTCAGTCAAGTATCCGCTACTGTGGTTGTTCTTGTCGTTGCCGCAACTTAAGCTCTGTCTGCTATTATTCCCCGTCGAACCGGCGATATCAGCAGGCGAGGATGCAATGAAGCAGCCTATCCGATTCTTCCTAGGAAACGATGCAGCGCCTGAGTTGCTCTTGTTTAAACTCTCTTCTTCTACAACCACTACTTCAGCAGCTCTCTTTCTAGGAAGCATGAAGTGCAGTAACCTGCTGAACAAGCCACAAAACACATTATCAAGAATCAAAATGTAACTTAACAACGTGATCAGCAATAAGACAACCAAAAAATCCAATGACGATTACAAAACTCTGAACCTTAAATGCCACATGATTGAAGCATAAAACCAAAAAGCCAAGGAACAATGAAGATTAAGCTTGAAACGAAACAATGACGCCAAGTAACATAACATACCAATTGAAACTCAAGAACCAGATATAAAAAGACGTAGAAGAATTCTTGAATTGGTTTTCTTTGATTCTTTATTCTCTGGTGTTGGATATAAAATGCAGAATCGCAATGAATGGCGTTAATATTGGTCTCATGGTGAAGAGAGGGAGACGGAGAAGGGCATCTATGGATTTCTAGAACAATGCCTGCTAACTATGGGAGACGCAACGCAAGAACAAAGTGCTGTTTGGTCTGTACCATTTCTATTCTTCACAGTCCGCGGGAGAGAATGAGCTGAACACAGAGAAACAGAAAGAGAGGGAAAAAGAGTGATGCGCATAAGCCAGCTACGTCGTCGTTTGGATGACCCAGGCCCCGTAAGGGCAAACGGCTTCGACCCATACGCCGTTAAATAGGAGTAACCATTTTCTGTCGCGGAGTACGGACCAATGCGCCGTTTAACATTAACGATCTTTTCTTTTCCTTTGTTTTTTTCTTTACCTGAATTAGTTAGTAGTAACGGTTTTTTTTTTTTTCGTTTGCCTTTTTTTTTAAATAGTTACTGCAGGCAATGCCTTGTCAAGCGTATTCGAGAAGGATCTAGACATTATACTTCACAAAGTTATTGCATATTGCGTTTTTTTATTTTTAACAAAACATGTTGCGTATTTTAAAAGAGATAAAAAAAAGAAGAAAATAAGAAAAATGTAATAATGTTTTTGGCCAAAAGAAAATGTAATAATAAGATGAATATTTATATACAGCTTTTTGCCAACAATATTTATGTACAGTTGCATTTTATATAATTTTCTCTAATTATATTTATATGTACTCCCGTTTTATAATATATAATTGCGCCAACCTGTTTTTTTTCATTGCAGGAGATTTTTCTCTTTTTTGGAAATTCAAATTTCCCTACTACTTTTTGGAATTATATTTCTTTTCTGCTTTCATTTATATAAGATTCAAATCCTCTAATTTGGTACTTTTATAAGCACTGTCTAAGTCTAAAAATATGTATTGGCCCCAGTCGCCAAAACCCAACTCACTTAAATTTTTTTATAGAAAAAAATTACTTAATTTGATTTTTTTTTTTTTGGAACTAAAGGTCTAAAGTACCCCACTTCACACTTGCATATACACTTATTCGGGTAAACTTTGATTTGTTTTATTTTGTTTTTCGGGGCGACCTTTTATGAACTTTTTAAGATTTCATTTGAATGCAATTCTGATCTCATTAGAGACCAATAATTTTTAATGTGATATTTTTAGATGTAGTTATTTAAAAATCTTTGTTAAAAAATATCTGAAATCTCAATCAAGTTTTCAGAATTTTTATGAAGAAAATATCATAGAATGCGAGAATAAAAGTCTGATCTTGAAATTGAATGGAAGGGGTCAAAATAGATGAAAAGGCAAAGATGGACCATGGTGGACTCCCTGATGCACGCATTTCCTGGAAGTTTCCCCTTTAAGAAAGAGAGAGAAATTTTTATTTTATAAAAAAAATAATAAAATGTTGAAGTCATTCCAAAAGGAAAAAGAAAAAAACATCATGGAAAATTAGGAATCGTGCTTTCATTCCCTTTCTACTACTGCTTTGAGGAAATTGTTAACTATTGCTAGTGCAAGATTATTATGTGCACTAAAAGCTATAGAGGAAAAAAAAAAATACTTCTCTACTCCTATTTATAGGGTAAAAAGAGAATTTTTTTTACCCTATTAATTTTTAATATGAATATACTATTTTGCCTTTTATTTATTACAATATAAGTAGTTATCTATTTTAAAATGTGTATATATTAAATATAGGTAAAGTTAAAACGTTATTATACTTTAATAGAGAATTAATGCATTTTAAGATTTTTCTTAATCTATGTAAAATATGCTAAAAGTGCCTTGTAAATAAGATCAGTATAAGCATATGTGTGCATGTGCGTGTATAGAGAGAGAGAGAGAGAGATTTTGGAAGTAAATAAACACAACTCAACGTTGCTTACACTTTAGCCTATTTTGAAAAAGTAATATAGTAAATAAAATATGCACGCCAACTCAAAATGATATAAATATGGAAAATAAGCAAAAGATTTTTTTTATTGGCATTGAGGAAAAATAATTAGAACAATTAAATCCATGTACGTATAATATTCTATGCAGGGCTTAAGGTACCAAATGCAATAAAGTTCACACTAATATCATCCGATAAAGACCACCGTCCAGTCAGAGGGCTATAGACAAATCCTGCCATCTCTTTCACCTGTCCAAGAAAACAAGAGGGAATGTCTCAACATGATATTAGAGGACAGAGAGACCACAACTGCTAAAAGATTAGCTACGTCAATTGCAGAAGCTTATTAGAATTTTAGTTTTACCCCAAAAAAAAAAAACAAGAGGGAAAAGAAGGTTTACAAGGGTATAGATTAGTACAAAGAAATGAAAAAAGTTAGATTCAGCCGTGAGATTTATGAAGGAAAGTATTAACCCAATAGGAAAATTAATTATTTGGTCCACACACACACACACACACACACATATATATTGGACTGAATTATTTGGTCGTCCCTATATGTACAATTCAATCCCCACGGTTTTAACTCGATTGAAACTCAATATCTAATTATTTGACTCGATGTAACTTAGCGCTTATAGCTTAGCCATTTAAACCACGAGTCTCTAAATTTCAAAAAATAACTTAGGACTTATAATTTTATTTTCTAAAATGTAGGGACCAACATTTTAAATAGCTAATATTATAGGGAATGAGTTATATCAAGTCAAAATTTAGGAATTTGGGTTTCAATTGAATCAAAACCATGACTTTATAAACAATACAATTCACACCCCACGGACCTATAATCTAGTTAATATATAATACATTTAACTTACACTGATATTGGAGCGTTGTAGAATAAGGACTAGTTCTTCAGGAGTAAGAAAACTGGACCATTGATGTGTTCCTTTGGGAAGCTGCAAAGAATCAACCATATGTGAATGTAACAATTTGAATAGAGAAAATGAAGGTTAAGGACTTACAATAACGATGGTTAAGATTTGAGAACTTTAAAATTTAAATATTTTACGAATCATAAAAATAAGTTCCATTAATGCTTTACAAAGTTACTACTTAGAAAGTTTCAACTTGGTTTTCAAGATATTACAATAGTCTTTTCCACTTAGATAAGGTAACAAATTTAAAATATCCTCATAAAGTTCTCAAGATCAAGCTGCAACTTCCAGAAGATATGAATGTGGTAACTTTACAAAGCACTGAGATAACTTATTCTATGATCCTATATGAGGGAGAAAAAAAATTTAAAATTCTTTATCGTCATTAACCTAAGCTATGTCCATAACTATCATTTTTCGATCTGAATACATCAATTGCAATCATCTCTAAAACAAAGACATGCGACCCTACATGGGACTGTGTATCCTTCCATAAAATAACAGTTCTAGCATTATCACATATTTGAAGCCCCTCATTAATATTTTCCCAAGAGATCAGCTCAATAGGATTTTTCCTTTGTCTCATCATGAGAGTTTGAACTTTGAAGCTTGGACCTCTACCATTATCCTATCGCACCCTTACCACCTATGCTAACCTCAAATGGAAGTCTAAACTTTATCATCCAAATTATGTGCCAAAAAAAGTTCATAAAATACTTCTATCTGATCAAGATGGAGTTTCTAACTTGTCATTGCAAAATTTTCGGGAGGATGGGGTAACTACCATGTCCGAATCTGACATGTCTATACTTGTTTTAACGCTTGAACACACGTCAGTAGTGTCAGCGTCTATGTAAATTTCAGAAGATGAACTAGGATATATCAGTACAATAAACAAAAGAATAGTACCCAGCCTAGAATGTATTCTGCAGCAACAATGGCTGTAGCATATGCCCTCATTGACCGGTTGATTGTTGATATCACAGTAGCTCCATCTGGTACAGTAAGTGCTGCCAGAGATTTGCAGAACTCTGCTGGATCTGCTACGTGTTCAATCACCTGTTGAAATTCCAACAAGCATAGTGGACAGAAGTCCCAAGCATCATAATATGCTCAATAAAATCTGCGTCATTCATCAAAAGGTCTAACCGAATTTAAAAGGTGATCTTCTATATGTAGTTGTCTACATAGATATCTACACAAAAGTATCAACATGCAATATATATTTACATTCATAAATCCAAATGCAGTATAATTCTGCACATTGAAACAAACACAGAGTGAAAGGATGACAATACCTCCAAGGCCATCACGGCATCAAATTTTCTGCCTTCTTCAACGAGCTTCTCTGGTCATAAAATCATTTTATAAAAGCTCGTCAATATTATAATTTGTGAATTGGTAAACGCTATTGTGTTATAAATATGAGAAGAGGCCCATCAACCACATGGATACAACCTATTTCAACAATGAATGATCCAAGTTATCAAACAGGCACAATAGAAATAGATTTTCCACAATTATGCCTCTTGTAAGTCGAGCAAACAAATTAGCTGGGCATCACAAGCAGGGAAAAAAAGAATCCACTGTCACAACTCACAAGTGAGATAGTTTTCAATATTAAGAGGGAAATAGCAAAATTATTATAGATAGACATGCACACCTTGGATGCATACATGGAGTATAAATTAATGCTTGACCTACACATGAAATGAGCAAGATTTGCATATGTACCAGCTGTTGTGCAACAATACTCAATGTTTGAAGTCACTGGATCCAAATCCTGTGAAGTACAAAAAAGGTAGGCATTTAGTTATTCAGCTCATGGTGAAGAGAATATAAATGACTAAACACTCATAATTATATAACAATTGCTGACACCATTAATATAAATTTTCAAATTAGCAAACACAGTTGATAAATAACATCTAACGTTTTGCAATTCTGATTCTTATACCCATAGCCACCAATACCCATAGCCACCAAGCACACCATGGCATGCACATACGCCTAATAATGTTGAAAAAACTTAATAATGGTGAAGATGCTTTCAACAACTAACCACTTGAATTTCATTGACCACAAAATTAGACCACACTTCCGGTTGATTCTTTCAAGTTTGCAAATACATTTGATAAAACAGACACCATATGCCAGTTGATAGAATCCAAGTACAGTTATGATAGACATATTGTTAATAAATTCTTATAAAATAAGCATACAGCATGAAGGCGAGCAATCTTGATATTCTTCTCTACAGCATCAACTCCTGTCACTGTAGCTCCCATCCGAGCCAATGGCTGAATAGCAAGTATAAATAGTTAAAGAACACGTTTGAGAAATAATTTGCAGTGGACTGAGTGTGTGTGTGTGTGTGTGTGTGTGTGTTTTTTTTTTCTGTGTTTCTCTAGAAAAAACAAAAATTCAACTATCTTCCACATTCTTTGTGCACAAGGCCGCTTGACAATATAAGAAAAATATGAAAAAACTCACAATTCTAGGATAAAAGGCAGTCAACAGGAACCCCGATTTAATGATAATTGACTCCATTTGTTTCCTTATAAGTAATCTAAGACACTCTCTTACACAGATTCACACGACCACACAACTTCTAAAGCCTCACTATAGCCTTAGTTCTCCAAGATGAATAAAACAGACGTATAGGCATATGATATTCTTCCCACTCAGTTAATTAGAAGTTTTAGGAATACATGTCAAGAAAGAAGGAAGCACCAAGAATAGCTTTGTGACTCCCAAATAATGTTGAAGTCAATAAGGCGCCTGTAATACTAAACTAAACTAAGGACATAAAATTATTCTAGAAGCCAAATATCCAACATAAAACCCATGAGTTCCAAAAATAGATAAATAAATAAAATGAAGAAAATTGTACCTCCGAAAGAATTCCACCACCACAGCCTACATCTACAATTTTAAGTCCTTCAAGAGGCCGAGCACTACAGGGGTCCTTCCTGAGACAAGGAAAAACCTATGATCGTCCATGTAGTATTAAGGCCTTCGGAGTAAATATACACTACATACCAAGCAATTTCCACAAAAGTTACTTAAAGAATAAACAGCTCCTTGAATCAGAATAGCTGTGACAGCTAAGAAGGACTAAAAAGGATTAAAAGAAGCACAAGGAAACCAAAAAATAAAAATTTCAACAAGTCTTACGGTTGCTTACTTAAAATGCCGACACAACGTTGAACGGATGAAAGCAAGTCTTGTAGGATTCATAACATGCAACGGTTTAAATGGACCATCAGAATCCCACCTAAATACAGCAAGAGAAGAAAAATAGACGTTATTCACAAAACCATAACAAGATGCACATATTTTGATTTTAAAATGTTGTCTTGAAAGAAGTTATCCTCTTGAGGAAATAGTGCATAAAAGTGCAATTACATATCAAATTATAAAATTGACTCGTTGCCAAAAAAGATGAATTTGTTTCTTATTTTTGGTCCAAAGAATTTTGTACTCAGAGAAAAATCATGACCATGCGACATGCACAACATTACATGTCATTTTCTTTCCACAAATTGCCTCCTTCCACCTTTATTAGCTTTCCAAAGCCTATAATCTCCAGAATGCTGCTTCGTGAATGGAAAATATGACCAAGACTAAAGTATACCATGTTTCAGCAATAGCGGCAAATTTAGCGAGCTCAATCTCCTTCAAAGATGAAGAGGTCGAGGCCGAAGCCGCACTCGATTCAACTTTTGGACTGGTCCGAGGCTGTGGCAATTCCGGGGAAGAAGAAGCAGAGGGCTCGATGGGGGACATTGTTTGAGAAGAACCATTGGAGAAGCACCTAATACTGAGGAGAGAACGCGATGCAGCTGAGGAGTTAGGAAACCGGTGCAAGAGAAATCGGTGAATCGCAGTCCTAGTCAGATTTCGAAGTTGACATGAGAGCTTGGAAGCCATGGTTAGAGAAGAAACGTACTTTATCCTGGACAAATTTTTATACTGTGATTCCGGGTTGACCCGGCAATACCCGCATAAACGGGGTTGGAACTTGGGCTCCATATTTGAAGTTGAACGGCAAAGGTCAGTCCTTCGGTTTTGGACTTGGGTTGGGCGTTTATATGTGAAGGGGGGCCTCATCGGTTTTAAATTTCTTTTATTAGTTTTATTATTTAATTATTGAAAAAATTTTAATTAACTATTTTGAGGTTGCAGTATTATTCATTATTATTATCATCAATATTAAATATATTATATGAAAAGAAAATGAAGAAAAATGCATTTCATGCGTAATTCCCTTATTTGTATTATCCTCATTTTCAATTTAAAAAATGTCCCCCCCCCCCAAAAGGAAAAAAAAGAATAAACCGAGTTGAATACGGGAACCATAACTTTTTTGCCTCTTCGGTCACTGAAATTAGGCTCTATGGAATGGAAATGGTCATTTTGTTCTTATGCTAATAGAATTTAGAACTTCTGCACCATCAAAAAATGCCAAGTTTAAAACTTTTTTTCAAGTTTAAATCTTGTGCATATAAAAATTAGGAAAAATCACAAGACTGTGAAATTAGAAAAATTACACACAGGAACCAGTTTACAAAAATTGTTATCAAAACTCATACTAATGTTGTCGTTGATCCTAATTTGTAGTTTTTTAACTTTCACAGTTCTTATTTGCGATTTTCCCTAAAAATTATTGCAAGAGAAACTTGTGTAATTCTTCATCAAACAACTGGAAGAAAAACAGATGACCTTACTTGACTAAATGAAAAAGAGTGAAAGAAGGTAATCCCTAATCGTTAAAGGAGATAAGTAGTTAATTTCAAGCTCCTGAACACTCTTTGCTAACTTTCTTCATGGCCACGTCTTAGAATGGTCTGAGGGCCGCCTGTATCAACCCAACTGCATTTCATGCATCCCCATCATCAACACGAGGAAATGCTAACTCGGATGCCATAGAAAGAACAGAAGTTAAATAAAAGAACATATAATTACAGATTAAACAATCACATCTTTAAATTAAGTTTGCCTAAAAAAATTGCTTCTCTAATAAAACAGTGCAAACCCTTCACACTATACAGCAACACTACAATCTCCTTTCTGTGCAAGATCCTCGTGAGCTTCAAGAGAAGAATGTGGAGCCACCTCCATGGCCGCTTTAGCAGACGATTGTTCAGTTACTGCAGTTTCACTGTCAATGTGAGGAAGTTGTGAATTACCAACAATATTGCTACATTGCTGGGAGTTGATGTCATTGGGATCAACGGTATGACTGGCCTCTGCAGTAGCATCTGACGGCTTCGTGTTGACGATCTCAAGAGTTGCATGACGAAGAACCTTGTTAGCTTGACCCGTTTCCTCAGTATTGTTAGGTTCTTCCTTTATTTCCTGACCAACCTCATGCTGTTCTTCATAGTGAACCTTGGCAGCTTCGTGATTTGGATCCACATGGCTTTCCTCACCACCTGCATAGGCCAGTTCTGACTGATCCACCTCAATATTTGCATCGCACAGCGGCAGATTCTCACCATCAGCATTTGCATGAATCAACTGGACGTGGTCAACTTCGTTGTCCACTTGATTAAATTGTGCATGGTCCACCTCTCCATCTAAATGACTTATATGTAATTGCTCGACCTCTATAGTAGCACTAAAGAACTGAGGTTGCTCATCCTCACTAACTGTACTATACTGAACTGCGTCATCCTTCCTTAATCGTTTACATGAACCTTTTCTTCTAACTCTCTCTTTTCCTCTTACCCTTTTTCCAAGTTCTTCTTGGGGAATGTCTGACATTACGACTGGACCACCAATTTGGTCTCTTAAACATTCATGGGCTATGTGTCTTATCCTGGAAATTGATTCAATTTGTTGAGAATCCAATCCTTTGGTTGAAAAGGTATCTGCTATATGTGCAATATCCCTCAGACCAGCGTTCTGCAAACATTTGTTTTTTTCCTTTTAAAAAGCATTTCAAACTTAATCTATATTTGCTTTAAGAAAAAAAATTAAATTCATGCAAACATATCCTTACCGTTCTCTGAAACTCAGATGAAAGAGAGATAGGCCTTCCTATAAACTTACGAGTAATTTTCAGGTACCACTGCATGTACTCGCCCTCATCTACACCCTCATCCCCATCAACAATATGAAGATGACGGTCCATCCATTCATTAAGCTCAGCTTCCATTTTCCCTGACAAGTCAACCCCACCATCAACTCCTCTACTCTTCCTCTCCCAACGCTCCACATCCTCCGGAATTGACTGAAGCATGCCGTACTGCCTTAGGCATCGATTTGGAAGATGTCTCTCTGCCTTGTCAAAGCAAATCAACATTGTTTTTGACCTCCCAATAATTAAGGTACTTTTGATATGCTCTGGAATTATCATACTGTCCATGTTTCTGTAGGGAAGCCACTCCACCTGTACACAAATGACAATCAAACTATATTTTCTCTTTGAAAAGTATAATCAGAATATCACCAAAATCAGCATTATATATAATATATATTTGAAAATAAGACTAACATCACATGGTTTTAAGGAATCCAAAGCCTTCCGATAAAAAACTACATCACGATTTGCCGTTGGGCTACTTTGTTTTCCTTTCCATCTAAGCACAAATGGAAATCGATCATGCATCAGATCTTGATTAAGTTTGGGTCGTCCAATATTTAGGTGAAAGTAACTCCAACACTGCAAAATCATGATGGGTAATTACAACAGCATTAAGTGGAGGAGAGAAGTTAGCAAGAAAACTTCTATGAATATAGACAGAAGAGAGCATTGTAAAAACAGAATTAAATCACCTGCAAAAGTGTCAAACAGCCACTAATAGTACTTTGAGTTTTCAGCGAGGCATTTCCCAGAGCTCTATATAAGAATGCTAATGCTGCTGCACCCCAGGCATATTGTCCACATCGTTCAAAATTCTCAAACAATGGCAAGTACATCACAGGCACTTTATTTCCTGTAGTGGTGGAAAATATAGTGCTACCTACAAGATAAAGAAGATATGCACGAGTGTGTTGCTCTATCACTTCTTTTGAAGCATCATCAGGACAGCGAGAAAAGAACTCTTTTAACCAACTAAGCTTCACCATTCCACCACTAGTGTAACCGGATTCTGGTGCCCTGCCAAGATACTTCTCACAAACTGAGCTGCATGTGGTGTATGTTATGCCTATTACAGGATTCCCATCGATGGCCAGACCAAGTAAAAGTGCAACATCCTTAAGGGTTACAGTCATTTCTCCAACGTTCAAATGAAAAGTATTTGTTTCTCTTCGCCACCTTTCAACTAGTGCTGATATAAGGGGGTTGTCTAGACTAATAGCAGGAATTGATCTTAAGTAACCAAACCCAGCCTTTTCGACCAATTCAATCTGCTTAGGATTAAGTGTCCATTGATCAAGCTTTGATGTGTGCTCATGACATCTGAGAGCACCACGCTCCTGTCAATGCATTAAGAGAAGTACAATCAAATATTTGGGAAAAAGCCATTGAAAAGATTTTGCAGAAGAATTATGAAGGGATAGATCAAGAGTAAAGGATCATCCAACAGTAAACTGCACCTGTCCGTCCCAGACTGCTGAGGAGACATGCTTGTCCTGATCATAGAGAACTGAACCATCAATTGGTCCTGGATTAGTTGCATAGAGGTCAACTGCTCCAATTTCCATTAGTATAACTGAATAGAAACACAAAAAGCAAAAGCAAAACCAGAAAAATAACCCCAGTTAGAAAAATTTCCACAAAGGAAACAATTAAACTATGCAGAAAAAGAGGAACACAATAACAGAAGATAAGGAACTCTCCAAAAACGAACATAGAACCAAAAATAGAGGGGGAGAAGAAACAAAACAATCATTCAAAGCCCACCAACCCAAATGAACAGCAGCTCAAAATCATAAACACATAATACCATAATCAACTACATATATAAAACTACTTACATCTGAAGTATGCTATAACAATTACATTAAAAAAAGTCATATGATCTTAGAAGTAACTGAGAGTAAAACTTAGGAAAACTCCAGAATCTTCAACCCATTTCAGGCAGGGGCATTATGAGTGGATTTTCTATTAACTTCCACAAGCATCCATAGGAACAGGAGAAGCCTACTTTCGAGCCTCTTAGAATATTAACATTAATAAAACAATTCGTAATTATATCTTTCACTGGAACAGACAAAACTAATGTTCGTTCCGCTGAGCCTAAAGAGGTATCTTCCAAAAGATGGGGTGGGGGAAATATTCAGTGTATTGACGAGCTAATTAATTTAAGAAAATTATGAAAAAGGACAACAATAAATTTCATTGCATGATGCTACACTTTCTGATCACGTCCCTTTACAGCTAATGTAAATAAAGGTTGATAAGCACTTGTCTTCCTTTACCAAGGACTATGGAGGATTTGTACTGCAGATCTTAGGGATAAATCCTTCCTGTAAATCAGAGCGGGTGACTAATAAAAATAGGAGAAGCCCCAACTTTGACTGCCATATATTCATGCTTCATTAAGTTGCAAAGTTCTCCTCTTTCACATCAACGTCCTGAGGGAATATTGCCACAGTAGAAAATCAGCAGAAATGCAATACTATTTTGTTGGCTGACATGTGACAGATGTACAACCAACAGGAAGTCAATTGTTCACCATCTATGAAGAATGGAAACTTCTAAATTCAGGCTGTACCTGTAACCGTAGTTCATTTTTACTCTTGGGTACTACAAAATAAGTACCATGTGGTAATTTTTCCTTTAAAAGGAAATTTGATTTATATATATATATATATATGAACTTTCAGATCAATTCACAAACTTACGTAAATGTTTGATTGACTATATATTGTAGAAGACTCATTATATATTTTTATGACTGTGAGAACTGTCATATTGATGGAGACCCAAGCATATCTTCATAGTAATAGGTGGACATCAAATTAAACGCATCTTTATAGGAGAGAAAAATGAAAACAAAAACAACGAGAAATGGCGAGAAAAAGGTAGTTTTATTGGAGGATAAGCCGTCCAAAATCCACAAACGGCTTCACAGACATTTAGAGAAACTAACAGAAAACACTATCATTCAAATTCAAGCATAGCATCTGAACATGGCAAAAATGATGATGTAGACTTTATTGTAACGACAAAAATGGGAGCATCCTATGCCAACTAGGAAATTGTTTTTTATTGAGAAGAACATCATACTTGACAAGAACCAAGTATAGTAAATAGGAAATTCTCTTCCTTGCAAAAAATGAAGCTGGAACAATTAGAAGGAAATTCATAATTCTCATCATTCTGACAAAGATGCCCTGGTTTAAACCTTTTTTTTTGTTGTTTTTTTATAACAATGGATTAAACTTTTCTCTTCGTGATTAAAATGAAACAAATTTGGAACACAAATATCAAAGCTTTATGTAACGTATGTTTACAACAGTTGGGGAATTGAATGGTTTGGTTACAGCAGTTGGGGTGGGGAATTAAATGTAACTGATCTTCCTTCACCCCCTCTTCCTCAATTTACCATTACTCCGGATCACCTTTTTTGTCCCTTTTAGATCGGTTACAACTACGATAGGCTACAAACAAGCAGCTTCTGACTTAAATTTTACCAACAATATTAAAGCATTTTACACGCATTTAAATTACAAGAGAGTAACATGCTTCTGCAAGACATGCTAAAAAAAATTCAAATTGTTATTCATACTTAACACTTTAACAGGTTCAAGGAAGAAACTTTCCTTCTGCGCTAAGTTCTTTATTAAAGAAACTGCTTCTTTAAAACTTCCAAATCTTAATTGATTGATATTTGATTATCTTTGTTCAAGTTTCTTATATGCTCGGGCTTCCTTCAACTTATCAAATATCTTCATATTCAAAGCAAAACCTTTTCCACCATGCCACTCCAAACAGAATACTTCGGCATTGTTAATGGTATCACACTACAATTATCGTGCCTCCCAATGATAACAGCATGTTACAAAAACCAAAGCTTTAAAAATTCTTTTTTTTTAATCAAAAAATCAACAATTCCAACGCCAACGAGGTAATATTGACATTTTTTATTCTTTTTGCCACTGTCATATCAACAAATTCAAAGAGGGCGAAATTAAGAACCCAGAGAAGGAAACCAAGGGGAAGATCAGATGAAGAGTGAAGGAAGAGATCTATGTGAGGCTGGGGATTAGAGTGCGTTTAGAATAATAACATAACAGAGCACCGGATTGTAAAGAGCAGAAAGAAAAATAAAGAGGAAGCTTACAGTGAATGGAGGCGAACCCGATACGACTTCCACCGTCGTCGTCGCTTAGCTTGGCAGGTTGAGGGCAAGAAAAGAAAGGTCGAATGGATGAAAGGATTTTTTTTTCCTTTCAAAAAGGGCTAATCTTATCGTGGGCTGAAGTGGAGAACTTGGCCCAATAAAAATGGAGTATCCTTTACATAAAAGCCCAAACACATCAGTACGAACGTGCCTTTTGGAATAGTTAGTTTGTGTATACCTTATTATTTAACATATTATAAAAATTTAGAAAACTATAAAATATTTCAAATAATAAGTTGGAGATGCTATTAAATACTATTCTTACGGACAAATTTTACATTTTTTACGCTTAAGTTTTTCATAATTCACTTCATTATGGTTTCGGTACAACAAAAAGTAAAATATAATATTCAAAATTATAAAATATTATTGCAAACTCCGCCTATATTGTATAGCCGGTCCCAAGCCCGGATAAAGGAGGAGGGTTGTGTTAGGCTCTCGATAGCCAACGTAAAAACCCGTCAAATCTCATGAACATGGATCAACGAAGTAATTACGCTAATGCTAGGTCGTTGCCCAGAAGTGACACGTTGTATGGCTCGAGTACAGTGAGAAATGAGCTAGAGCCGCTGCATCGTCGCCCGGATATAGTGTTAAATGAGCGAGAGCTACCGCTCTCTCTTGGACGGATGCGGCTAAAGAAGTTAGTTCATGAGACTGAGATTAGATTTGGCACTTGGAATATTGGGACGCTGAATGAGAAATCTACGGAAGTAACAGGAATTATGAGGGACAGAAGGATTAATATCTTGTGCCTACAAGAAACCAAATGGAATGGAGAAGCTGCCAAGGAACTTGGAGAGTATAAACTTTAGTATACAGGAAAGGTGAGTGCAAGGAATGGGGTTGGTATCATCGTTGATGGAACATGGAAAAGAAACGTGGTAGAGGTTAAAAGGTTTAAGGACAGAATAATATCGTTAAGAGTAATTGTTGGAAAAGATACTATCAATATCATTAGTGCCTATGCACCTCAGGTTGGGGCAGAGACACACCTTAAAGATAAGTTCTGGGAAGATATGGAGGGGTTGATTCAAAGCATACCACTCGAAGAAAAAAATTTTATCGGTGGGGACCTTAATGGACATGTCGGTAAGGAAGCAGGACAATTCAGCGGGGCCCATGGTGGTTTTGGTTTTGGGCAGCTTAATAGTGGAGGACAATCTATTCTCAACTTTTCTCTTGCATATAATCTTAAGATTGTCAACACTTGTTTTAAGAAGCAAGAGGAGCATTTAATCACGTACAAAAGTAGTGTCTCAAAATCACAGATTGATTTCTTTTTGGTTAAGAATCCAGACAGAAAATTGTGTACTAATTGCAAAGTGATTCTAGGAGATAGGGTGACTGCCCAACATAAAGTACTTATTCTTCATGTACGTTTTAAGAGTACCAGGCAAAAGTACTATCAAGTGGTAAAACCCAGGATTAGGTGATAGCAGTTAAAGGGTGAGAAACGAAAGTTATTCAAAAGGACCCTTGTGGAGGAAGGGATTTGCGAGTCGCAGAGAAATGCAAACATGATGTGGGAAGAGATAGCTACAAGGGTTCGTTTGGTAGGTAAAGAAATTTTGGGAGAATCCAAAGGTCCTAGTCAGAGAGATAAGGAGACTTAGTGGTGGGATAAGAGTGTGCAAGAGAAAGTCAAATAGAAAAGAGATTGTTTTAAGGCCATACACTTGTGCAATAGTATAGAAAACCGGGAAAAGTATCAGTTAGCTAAAAAAGAGGCGAAGAAAGCAGTGAGCGAAGCACGTACTAAAGCTTATGAAGGGTTTTATTAGGAGTTAGGAACAAAGACGAGAGAAAGAAATATTTACAAGATTGCGAAGCAAAGGGAAAGGAAAAAGAGAGATTTGGACCAAGTAAAGTGTATAAAGAATGAAGATGGTAAAGTGTTAGTTACTAATAGTGATATTAAGGACAGATGGGAGGCTTATTTTTACAAGTTGTTTAATGAGGGAAGCAATTATGCAACTCAGGACTTACAGGACTTGCTAATTAACAAAGATGATCAGAATTTGGCTTTCTACTGTAGGATTCGTATCGAAGAGATTAAGGCAGCTCTCAAGAAAATGGACAATGGAAAAGCCGTTGGGCTTGATGGTATCCCTATTGAAGTTTGGAAATGTCTGGGAGATGAGGGTGAAGTGTGGCTAACCAAACTTTTTAATGAAATTTTACGCTCTAAGAATATGCCGGATGAGTGGAGGAGAAGCATTTTAGTTCCTATTTACAAGAATAAAGGAGACATTCAAAACTATGCAAGTTACAGAGGGATAAAACTTATGAGTCATATAATGAAATTGTGGGAAAAAGTGATGGAATATAGGTTGAGGCTGGAGACTTCTATTTCAGAAAACCAATTTGGATTTATGCCAGGGAGATCCACTTCGGAAGCAATCTATTTACTAAGAGGGTTAATGGAAAGATATAGAAGTAAAAGAAGGGATTTACATATGGTCTTTATTAACCTGGAAAAAGCTTACGATCGTGTGCCAAGAGAAGTAATCTTTGGAAAAAAAAAAGGTGTACGGGTTGCTTATATCAAAGCCATACAAGATATGTATGGGGGGTAACTACTAGTGTAAGGATGCTTGGAGGTGAGACAAAGGACTTCCCTATTCAGATTGGCCTACATCAGGGATCCTCTTTGAGTCCGTACTTGTTCAACATTGTTCTGGATGTTCTAACTGAACCTATTCGAGAAAGAATCCCTAAGTCCATGCTTTTCGCGGATGATATAGTTCTTATGGCGGAATCAAAAGAAGAGATTAACACTAGATTGGAGTTATGGAGAAGGATGTTGGAGTCGAAAGGTTTCCGCTTGAGCAGGAACAAAACACAATATATGCATTGTGATTTTGGGGGGAGGCAAGGCAATGGGGATTTGGAGGTGAAGATGGGGGAGCAAATTATTCCTCAAGTATCAAAGTTTAAATACCTAGGATGCATTATACAGGAGGATGGGGAAATTGATGGAGACGTTTCTCATAGAATACAAACTGGCTGGTTAAAGTGGAGGAAAGCTACCGGAGTTATTTGCAATAAGAAGGTACCTGGGAAACTTAAAGGAAAATTTTATTCGGACTACTATAAGACCGGTTATGTTGTATGGTAGTGAATGTTGGGCAATAAATGGAAAACAAGAGCACAAAGTTGGGGTAGCAGAAATGATAATGTTGAGATGGATGCGTGGTCATACAAGAAAAGATAGGATTCGAAATGAAAATATCAGAGCAAGAGCCGGTGTGGCACCTATCCAAAAGAAAATGGTTGAAAATCGCTTAAGATGGTTTGGACATGTGTAGAGAAGGCCATTAGAGGCCCCGGTGAGAAGGTGGATCAGACAAGATGGAGTCACATAAAAAGGAACAGAGGAAGACCAAGAAGAACGCTTAATGAGGTCATTAAATGAGACCTCCTAGTCAACAACATATTTAAGAATTGAGTTGTTGACAGAGCACGATGGCGTCATGTGATTCATGTAGCCGACCTCACCTAGTGGGATAAGGCTTGTTGTTGTATAAAATATTATTGCAATTTTATGATGGTTTTGAGTTCTCACATTATAAATCCCAAACATGTGAAGCTCACGTACTTTAGTCCTAAGTCCTAACGGTCTAGCGTGTTTTTGGATAACAGGTGATCACTAGATAAAGAAGTTTGTTAAGTTAGTTATTTATAATAAGTAGGTGTTATATTTTTTTAAAATACTCTCATTAATATAAGAGGTGATTACTAATTTGAGTATATTAAATAACATTATTAAGTTAGTTATTTGCAATAAATAGATATTATTTTTTTAGAATACTCTTACTAATCATGTGTATTAACTAGAATTACCATTCGATAGAGTCTTAACATGTGCAACTATTACAAGCTATACTTTGAAAATATAGATAAATAAAAGAGAAAAATGAATTAGGGTCTTATATATAAGACATAATTGAATGCCAAACTAACTCTTATATTAAGGATTGAAAGTAGTATTTTTGATCAAGTTCCTTATATCATTATAACAAGTTTTCTAATCATACATGGTCATAAATCTTTTTTTACATATAATTATAATTATAATTAAATAGTATTAAATGCTAATATTTCAAAAATAGTATACTGTTTTTCTAATTGTTTTTTTAATTTAACAACTTTTTTCACTAAATTGACTCAACAATTTTTAAAAAGATACTTTTTTTCTTTTGAATTAATAGGCAAACACTAAAACTTTGGAGTTATAAATAGAATTCAACCCCCGATTTACCATTTATATAGAAAATTTTTATGGCATTAGGTTAGAAAATTATTGAATTTTTATGAATATTTTTGTACGGTCTAAGCCGCTCAAAACAGCAAATGAAAACAAAAACAGAAAACGGTCGGTCTTGAGTCTTGACAGAATCCTCTTTGGGTTAAAATTAAAAAGAAAAAAAGAAAAAGAAAAAGAAAAAGGAGGACCATTCCCTTTGTCCGCGCTCAACTTCTAATCTTTCTCCTTTTTGGAATAAACCAAAAGCAGCGATTCTTTTCACATTACGCAGGTTTTTTTTTTATTTAAAAGAATTCTATTTCTTTTAAACAAGAAAATGAAAAATTCCCTTTTTTAAGCTTCAGTTGAAATTTCAGCGCCGAATCCTACCCTCACTTGAATACCCTTTTCTGCATTTCCGAGTTTCCCTGGTGAGCAACTAGGTGGATCTCTCTCTGGGTCTCTGCACTTCGGTTGCTTTCATCCACCATGGACGTCGCCAATAAGTCCCAAAGTCGGTTCACGCTGGGCCGGCAATCCTCTAAGGCGCCGGAACGCCGCCACTCCTGCGATGACATTGGGTCGGAGGCGTTGGACTCGAGTGTGAGGTTGATGTATTTGGCGAACGAAGGGGATTTGGATGGAATCAAGGAGCTCTTGGACTCTGGAAGTGATGTCAATTTCAGAGATATTGATGGCCGCACCGCTTTGCACGTCGCCGCGTGTCAGGGTCTCACCGATGTCGTTGAAATGTTAATCCAAAGGGGTGCTGAGGTCGACCCTAAGGACCGGTGGGGCAGCACGGTAATGTTCCTGTTGGAGTTTATGTTTTTTCTGCCTCCCTGTCGTTTTCTTGTTGTTCGTACTCATGGAATTGGCATTAAATCTTTCTTTCATGGTTTCATGTGCGTGCTTGACGATGCTGATTTGTGATAACTTCAGTTGATGCAATGGAATTTGGATTTTTCATATATATTTTGGCCGAGCTTCAAGACTAAGATTAATGTATCTTTTATCTAAATTACTTTTCTTTCTAACTTCTATATTATTTTTCTTCTTGTTTTCCCATCTCAGTTTTACGTTTATGTTTCAGTAGGGTTAAAGAAAATAAAACATCAGAGAAGAAAGTTTGTGATGGAAAGGGTTTCAAAGAACTGATGGAAAGGTTTACCTTTTTATAGAAAATGCACTGCTATTGAGTTATTTTCAGTTTTTGAAGCTGGATATAAAGGAGCTGCTGCCAGACTCGAAAGTCATAGGTTCTCAATATATTATTGTTTCGTTGTGAATCTGTCTATATGAACCAGAGAAAGAAATTGCCTGCATTTTCTATTATTGGGGAGGATAATCTCGTTTGTCATCATTAACTTTTCTTATGTGATATTTTTAGTTTATGCTTTATTCATTCTGATTCAGCATCTCAACCCGGGAAATTTTTGGCAGGGTATGTGGTACAAACTCTATGACCTAATACAAGTTCATGGTTTATTTTACAGCCTCTAGCGGATGCAATGTACTACAAAAATCATGATGTTGTAAAAATTTTGGAGAAACATGGAGCAAAACCTCCGGTTTGTAGCTTGATTTGATATTCTTATCCTTGACCTCAACATTTTATCATCAAACTGAAACATTTCTCACTTATTCTAGATGGCTCCCATGCATGTCCAAAATAGTCGTGAAGTCCCAGAATATGAGATTAGCCCTTCTGAACTTGATTTCACAAATAGTGTTCGCATAACAAAGGTATCCATTACTGTTTCACCTTTGTGTAGTTTGTATTTGGTTCATTCTTCGCATCTCCAAAATCCTAACTCATGCTCCTAATTTAGTATCACTGATTTATTCTTTCTTCTATATTTTGTATCAAATAAAAATTTTAGGGAACTTTTCGTGATGCATTATGGCGTGGCACCCATGTTGCTGTCAAAACACTTGGGGAGGAAGTTCTAACTGATGATGACAAAGTGTGGGTTTGCTTTTATCATACAGTTTGAGGCTTTGTTTGCCCACATCACTTTGTTTATTCAGCTCATAATTTGAAAGTTTTCTTCTACACCCTTTCCTTCCTCGCAGAAAAGCATTTCATGATGAGCTTGCGTTACTTCAAAAAATACGGCATCCAAATGTTGTCCAATTTTTAGGTGCTGTAACACAGAGCACCCCAATGATGATTGTCACAGAATATCTACCTCAGGTTTGCCCTGATACTATCCTAACTAGAAGGGAAACTTGTGATGTAATGAATATGATGACTATTTAATTTTTGTGGCCAACTATGAATGTAATGACTACTTGAATTAATTTGTTATTATTTATGTTATACCTTTGGCTTGCATCCATTTATATTTGCCCAGGGTGTTCAGGAGAAATTCTGTTGATTTAGTTGACTATCAGGAAAAATGCTATCAAGTGACAAGCGTAATGCTGGCTGCTGACTAAAACTGATAGTGGAATTAAACATTACTGTTCAATTTTTATCCCTAAACTGCGGGGCAAATTTTGCCCTAAAGTTCTTTTGCCCTTTAATTTTGTCCTCAATTTTCAATTATTCATGTATATTTGTTTAATGCAAGCTTTCAAACAAAGAGGTCAATAAGGATGTGCAAGTCCTGTTTGTCAGAGGTACTTGGGGATACTGATCTAGGACTTAGAAATATGTGAACTACTCCATGTGGGCTGAACACTTTGCATTTGATTTTTCAATTGGAGTGGGGTGATTGCATATACTCAGCTGTTCAATGGACCATACCTTTTTGTGTGTGTGTGCGTGCATACCATTTAAAATTTAAAATTAGATGTACATAGCAAACTACCAATAGAGGCATAAAACAAATTGAAGGTAGAGTTTTCATGTCAAATTTATGTCAATCTTTATCTTCGTTGAGATGCTTTTCTAAGATCTTGAACAGTTTTGGAGCGTTTCAACGCATAGAAGTGCATTAAGAGGTGTTCGGAAACATATCAAACAAAAAGTACCAGTGCACAGATGACATTATACAGCATGTCTATCATATTGGATATGTATCCTATATGGGCATGTCTTCTTTTTTAGGGAATATGCATCTTGAGTTCATGAAACGATAGGTTCTTTAGGTATAAAAGGAAGAATTTTTTTTTTTTCCTGTTTTTCTTGAAGACTTATTTCATTCTCAGGTGTGACATGCTTCCTTATTTTTGGTCTTCTGAAGCGGATGGAATTAGCGTAAAACAATTTTACTGGATGCTAAACTTTTATTGTCTCTCTTTTTTAATATCTCTTATAAACTGTTCTTGGGTGATAATTATCCTCCCATTTTCACATTTTCCTTCTAAAAATTCTTATTTTGCATAACTCAAAAATGTACTTTTAACTAGTTCCCAGAATGAAAGGAAGGTGGACTCCTATCGAATCTGATAAACTCACGAACAATGGGGAGTGGTGAGATGCAAGGTGTTTAAGCGTGGGTTTATTCCACGAGATTTGTGACACTAATTATAGGGTCAAAGTTATTTAGATTCTGTTGGGAAGTGGCTGTTAGGAATTATGTTGAGAAGAGTCAGACGGCCTGCCTTTCCTTGTAGTCTAGAAACTGAAATGAAACTGATGTAACTAGCATGTGCATCAATGGAACTGGCATCTAATAGCGAGTATTGAATTCTGATATTGTCTGCATGCCAGAACCTGTAAACTTGAAACCATATGAGTGAAATCATCTTTGTGAGAAAGTTAAATTTTGGAATAAGGCTATGGAGACATCAAGTTTGATAAGAGAGATGTGCTCATTGATTTGGATGTTTTGGGCTTTCACTTTTGGATTTGGAACGTCATTATGACCTCTCTTGAGCTTATAAATATATCAGTTTTTTATCTATGGTTTGGAGAATTCCTTGCCTTCCAAAATTTTTTGGTTTACTCTTTCCATTTATAATTTTTTATTCTCATAAATATATATTTAATATTTTGATTTCGTCATCAGTTATCACCTTTTTCAGGGAGATCTTCGTGCCTACTTGAAAAGGAGAGGTGCATTAAAACCAATAACGGCTGTGAAGTTTGCACTTGACATTGCAAGGTCTGTCATGTGTTTCTTTATGAAAAATCTATCAATAGCGTTCACTGACATCACAAGGGACGGAATTCCTTTATTATCTGATTTTCAAGAGTTGAAACATTAGATACTACCAAGAGTTTTAAAGGTTTACATGCATTTAATTTTTTAGAGATGATGAACTTTTGTAGTAGTGAATCGTATTCTTAATAAAAAAGATAGTTTGGCAGACTACAGTTGCCATGACCAAAGGTTCTGAATGATCTTGTTATAAAATAGAGCCTATCTAATGTTACAATAATATGCAAGTCTCAGACAAAACCCCGACTGCCCTCCCAAAATGAGAAGAAATCTGAAGTGGAGGACTGAAGTTTTTGGTTGAATTAATCTTAAAAGTATGAAGTTCAAAGTAGATAAAAGTTTGAAATAAGCCATCTTTTTCAGTTGATTCAGTATATTTTTTCAAACAAATCTTCTGGAGTTAAACGAATGAATATGCTTGATAAAGATGAGAAGGACAAGAATTCCCCTCGTCAAAAATATCTCTTTACTACAAAGTTTTGCGCTTGGGTGTGCTTGTAATAAATGTGATATCTTTGTATATTGTACCAGGGGAATGAACTATTTGCATGAACGTAAACCAGAAGCAATTATACACCGAGATCTTGAACCTTCGTATGCTTTCTACTCTCTGACTCTTAGTTGATTTTAATTTTCCAACTGCATGCATATTAAGTGTAAGATTATTTAGCCTAAGACATGCATTGTTCATTCTTGTATGATTGAAACTGTTGAAAGTTGCTTCATTGTACATGAGTAAGATAACAGAAATATACTGCGGGATGATTCTGGGCATCTGAAAGTTGCAGACTTCGGGGTTAGCAAGTTGCTCAAAGTTGCAAAAACTGTCAAAGAAGACAAACCTGTGACTAGCGAGGATACTTCTTGTATGTACTCTTCCTTAGTGATTCATGTCATTCTGCAAAAAGATATTTAGAGAGAGAGAAATGTTGCAAACAATGACTCCAAAAGGGTTTTAATCTGCATTCTTTCCATATAAAGGATGTGCTAGAACAGTGCTGTTTTGCATGAGTAGTTTGAATTTTGTTAACTTGATATGATTATGCCATCTATTGTCATATGATTGGTGACATCTCGCTCTTGTAGTCTTGTCATTGTGGCTGGTTTTGGTGTTTAGTTATTGCTGAGATAATTTAAATGTCTTTGAGCAGGGCGCTATGTTGCTCCAGAGGTCTATAAAAATGAGGAGTATGACACCAAAGTAGATGTCTTTTCATTCGCTCTAATATTGCAGGAGGTAAGAAAATCTCCTTCCCTCTCTTTCCCTGTTTGCTTGTGACCACCTAATATGACTTTGTTACTAACCTTTGGATTCAGATTCATCTTCATTCTAGATTTTTTTTTTTTTTTACTTCTATGTTTGCTATGAGTGTTTTTGTGTGTCCTTACATTCGACTATCTTGTTCTTCTCTTCTTTGGGAACCTAATTTCACAAGATAGATCGAAACTAGTTTGATGAATGGAGTTATTCTAGCATGTCTTGTTTTTGTATGTACGGAGTTACTTTCAGCATCTGATTTGCCCTACTATCATCACCGGATGATGTAGATGTCAAGATATTTCGAGATTTCAATAATACGGTATCAAATTTACTTATCAAGAAGATATTTGTAGGATTGAGGTGCCATTTTAGACAGTTTGGAAATTCATATGAACTCCGAGTTTTCAGCACTCAGTGCATGCTATTTTGTGTTTCAAGTTTTCAAGTGCTTATAAACAGAAATTTCATCTCTGGCTTATAAAGTGTTTTGCTGGCGCAATCCATGTGATTTAATTCACACAAGAGGGTTATATAACGTGTCTGAAATATTACAACTATCAGCGAGATGTTATCTGTAGAGATGGCAGACAAATCAGTGACGGGAACATGTATGTTAACATCTATGGTTTTCTTTTATTATAGATGGTTGAAGGTTGTCCACCATTTCGTGCAATGCCGGAAAAAGAAGTTCCTAAAGCATATGTTGCAAATGAGCGTCCACAGTTCAAGGCCTCATCTAAGGTTTATGCGCATGGGCTAAAAGAGTGAGTACTTTTAATACATTTTATTTGCAGCAGATTTAGTGACTCATAAATGTCTCAGCTTCAAAAGATACCATGAATAGGGGGATCAAAAGATCAAAAAAGAAAATTCCTGTTTTGGTGTTTATCCATAGGTTAATTGAGGAATGTTGGGATAAAGAACCACACAGGAGACCAACGTTTCGACAAGTAATTGAGAGATTGGAAAGCATCAGCAGCCATTTTGCACGTGAAAAACGCTGGGAGGTCTCTCTCTCTCTCTCTCGCTCTCTCACACACACACACGTTTTTATGTATCCTCCGGTTTCCTTGATTCTTTTCATGTGAAATTAAATTATACCTTGTTTGGCTTGCTGGTATTATAATTTTACTTGTCGAGTTTGGTTTCTTGTCTATACATTAATGTCTCTTTCATTGATAAACAGGATTGTACCTCTAGATGCTTCCCAAATATGAGGGCCTTGTTTCAGCGGAATCGGACGAATCCAGGAAGCCGATCATCTCGGTTGATGACCAGATGAGTAAGAGATTAAAATGCAGTTGGAAGCAAGCAGCGTTTCAATTCTTTTGTACATACATGGATGGCTTTTGGAAACAACAAATCCCTCCACGGTAAACCATGTTGGGTTTGTTGATATGCAACTGAATAGTTGGGTTGTGGCCTCCGTGGGAAGACTACTGACCCCTTCAGGTTAATTGTTAATAGGTGAGTTCCGAGGACGGTAGATGAATGTTTGCGAAATATGTGGATATACGGGGGTGTTCCCTAATAAGCTAAGCAAGGCAAAAACCTTTTTTCTTTCTCTCGTTCAAGCAAAAAATGTTCTCTTAAGTGTCTTTCATGGAGTGGATTCATCCCCCAGTAATTTCGATGTTGCTGCGAATTGGTTTTATCGGCAAATGGCCATAAACGTCGATGAGGAAGATTCCTAGGTAGATCCATTTGAATGTCCCATCAAATTAATTAAGATATAAGCAGTTCTAAAACTGAGACATTCCAAAGATATAGGAATGTTGATGTCCTTTGATTAATGTATCTTTTATGGGCACTCTGCTTAAAAGGGCCCAAGGAGGGGTAGAGGCGCAGCGCGGTAAATTTGATTGGGTTAAATGTCTGGGCATTTTTCTGATAGCTTTTCTTTTAAATCAAGACATCAAAGACAAACTTAAATTTCATGAACAGTCATAACAACGAATTTCGTGGGCACAAAAAAATGTCAACGAATTTCAGTTTAACTGGCCGTTTTTGAAAACAAAAAAACTTTAACTCAGAAGAAAGTATGTGTTTGAGAATTTAAGGATTCAATAGGACGAGTTTACTTCTTGAATTTGTTACCTGTGCAAATTTAGGCACAGAAACGGGCCTAATGCTTTCGTCCAGGGTCTGAGCTTTGATCATCTCTCGCTAGCACACCCCCATCCTCATTAAAGCGTAGAAGAGCAAAACTTTTATAGAACTGTGACACCTTGGGGTCTGCTTGAATCTTGGAGCGGGTGAAACCAGAAAGATGAAGACCCTTCAAGCTTCTAACACGAGAAAGAGCTACGTACACCATCCCACAACCAAAAGCTTTTGACAAGTTAGTATGAACTCTATCTAAAGTCATTCCTTGACACTTGTGAATGCTCAAAGCCCATGCCAATATAAGAGGAATCTGCTTCCTCCAAGCAACAACTTCATCCCCATGCGTTATTTCCCAAACTGCCGGTTCTACAACCATAGTTTCTCCAGAGTCGAATTTGACAAATGGCAGCAGCATATGAGGGCATACCTCATCATAATTCTTTGCCCTGACAAACCCCACAACTTCTCCAGCTGCACCATTCACCAACCCTCTCCAGGTGTTCAAATTCTTTACCAGCATAACTCGTGCACCTTCACAAATGGAGATCGAATCGGGGGCCATTCCTAGACTGAGCTGCCTCCTCCATGGCTGACCGCCATGATCAATTGCATTATAAACAACAACCTCCTTTTGTAGACTGTCGAGCCTTTCTTGGTTCACTTTCTCCACATCTTTGCTCAATGGAAAAAGTTGTATTACAGAGGGATCACACTCGGATTCTGGGATACAAGACTGTTCAAGGAATTCCATGTCCTGGGGTTCAATCTCTCCTGTCCTTACACCCTGAAGCAGCTTGATGAGCAACATGTCAGACTGCCTGAAGATCTTAGTGAATTCCATCTGTATATCAAAGCTCCTTTTCCAACTATCGGCTTCAAAAGCAAATTTCACCCTTCCCCCGGAAGAATTCTTATTAGGAATGGGCGGCAACTGAAAGAAATCTCCACTCACTACCAGCTGAATTCCCCCCCAAACACTCTCCACTTCTTTCACCTCTCTAACAATGTACTCAAGACTATCAAACAGATCTGCATCTATCATGCTGATTTCATCTATAACTAATGCTTGAACATTACGCCACCTCTTCCAGGCCCGCTTGTTCTGGATAATCCTATCTAACATAACTTCACGCTTATCAGCTGTGATACTAATACCAGCAAAGGAGTGCAGAGTTTGGCCTTTGATAGCACAGGCTGCAATCCCAGTTGAAGCCGTAATAGAAACTCCAGATGGTTTATATAAAGTCCTCAATCTTTTGATTGCCTGATGCAGGACATAGGGAAAAACGAATTAGAGAATCACAATCCTCAAAGTTCATCAGTTTAGAAGTTTGTCCTGAAAAAAGGAGTAACTATTTTTTTTCTCTAGATTTTTACTCAACAAAAGATTTTAACTTCTTAAGTAATCCTAGATTAAACCCCACAATAGACTAATTACAAACACATTACCACTTCAAATGATAAGATATTTCGAAACTTCCTCGGCTAGGTGGGCACCATTACCTCTTGAAGAAATAGGGTTTTTCCAGTGCCAGCCGAGCCCGTGATGAACACTGAATTGCCCCGAGAAATTGCAGCCAACATACTCTTCTGCTCATCCGTCCATTCGATTTTAGGCTTACGTGGCTTTCTCTCTTGCGCTTTGTCCTTCTTCTTCAACTCACTGTAAATCCACTTCCGTGGTTTTCCAGAACTCTTGGAGCTGAATTTCCTGTATGCAGCAGCAGCTACTCCAACGGTCAGAAATGGCATTGTTCTTGATAAACAATGCGAGACGAAATAATTTTGCATCATCGAGATTTGAAGTTGGTCTCGATCATTTTCCATATTTGATGCTGTGAGTTTCCACAAAGGTATTACATTTCTTCGCATTTTGGTGAAGTGAAGAAAGACAATCCGGGCGAAGAAGATGAAGACTCGTCATGATTTCAACTTTCAAGAATGTCTCGTATCGACTTGAGGGTTCAGGGTTTTAGATGAGACCGTAATGAAAGAAAAATTAAACTAAAAAAAATTCTTATCAGATCGATCGGACAAGGCAAACAAATCTCCGTGTCTAATGCAAGTACTGCAAAAGAAAGACTAGTACGGACTAGAAATATGTTACAAATATTTTATATTTCATTTTTTCATCATAAAATATTTATTAATAATTTAAATTATATGCCTTTTGTCTTTAATATAAAATTTAATTGTTAAATTAATTTTAATTTTAAATATAATATCTATTTCTTATATTTATTAATTTTTTCTATCTTATTTTTATAGTTATTTCTTCAACCATAATCAAGTAAGTGAGGAAGAAGGATATTAAAAAAGATGATTATAGTGTTTTAAGAAAAAAAAAGTCATATTTCTTATAATTAACTAATTTACCTAACTTTTTTAATCTAATCAAATTAATTAAATAAATCTTATATTAAGAATAAGAGGAGTATTTATACTTTTATATTTACCCACTCAACTTTTGAAACTTTATTTTTGCTTTTGGAACATTTTAGAAATATTTCACCAATACTTTTTGCTTTTTGGAAAAATAAATAAATACACAAATTCAAAAATGGAAGAGATTTCAAGAAAAGGTCAATTTCATTGGGCCTTGCACACCCCCCCCAAAAAGCTTAATTGGGCCACAAATAAATAGAGAATAAATAGGTCGATCGGTCTTACTTGGGCCTCATATACTTTCTTTGATGTTCTTTTCTTTTTATTTTTCTATTTTGGCAATCAATGTGCTTTTTATTTTTGCTTCTTATTGTCACTGATTCAACTCCCACTACTGATATGAGACTATTATTGCTAGGTAATGTATAAATATCTTTGTAAATGCTTTTTAAATTTAAAAGTATGTCTTGAACTTAGTGAGCTTTTGAGATCCAATTCGCATAATTTTTTCTTGAACCAAACAAAATTTCTCCCTCTCTCTCACTCACACACGCAAGCTTACTAAAGCTTCCACTCCTCCTGTTTTAAGTGGGGAAACTTAATGAATTTGACAATTTAGTGCCTTTAATAAAATTATCTCTAATAAGAGGACAATTATACTTAAAAAAAAATTAGATAATTGATTTATGTAAATTAACAAATTAGTTATTTATGAAAATTTTTTCTAAAACGTTCTCTTTAATTATTTATTTATCTACATTGAATTACCTTTGTTAACGAAAATCTCTTCAATATGACCAATCAAATCAATAAGGACAATTTTAAAAAAAATTACAAATTTGACAAAAAAAATAAATTAATATTTTATATTTAGAACCAAAACAAATTTTTCAGCTATTTCTTATAGGATCAAAAGGTTAATATATTTTTAAGTAAATATTTCGTTAAGATTAACACTTTAAAATGGCACTACATATGTTGAAGCTGATGCTAATTTATTAAATATATTGATGTATAAACACTTAAATTAATTAGTGATCAAACCCCAGACATGAGGATGAGACAAAGTGAGAGGAGAAATAGAGAGAAGTGAAGAAAGCTCCATACCTAATCATTAGTTTATCAAAAAATGTTCTCCAGGACAGATTAAAAAACACTGTTTTAAAAAGAAGATCCAGAAAAGTTGTCAACATAATCTAATTACAACATAATCAAATTGTTGATTTGTTGTAATATTTGTCCCCCCTGAACACATGCATGCACACACCACGATTTACGATGTTAATTAATTAATTCATTAATGAGCAAATTGCATTTGAATTTGTTCAATTTACCCCCTATGTTAATCGTGAGACCAATCATCATTAGGGTGCCCATTTTGATTTGAATCAAAGAAATCATTTTGATTATCTTTGACACTGTTAATATCAATTAAAGCTTGAGAGTAGTTTAATAGTTTATGTAATGAGTATCCTTTTTGATGAATAAATTAACAGAGGCTCATATAATGAACAAGCTTGATTCTCTGTGCGTGTGTTTTACAGGGCTAACATTTTTCCAACTTTGTTACAAAAGGAGATCAGATGTTGAAAAATATATGAACAAGCAAAGAGGATATATAAATATATATATATTACAAAATTATATATAGTTAAGGCATATATTTATGAAACTTTGTTACTCAAAAAATCATTTTCAATCTCAATGCAGGTCAATCCATCGTACTAGTGAATAGTGAAATAATTTCCTAATTAGTTTCATCAAGAGTTTTTGGATGAGTCCATACCAAAATTGAATTTTAAATTTTTCTCCCATTACTAAACTTGAAACATCATCATTTTGAATTCTTTAAAAAAAAAAAAAGTTATTCCTCCGATCCTTAATATAAGATCTAATTGTGAAGTTGGTTTTAGTCATAAATATAAAACCTATTTCTTATATCTATCAATTTTTCCCAAATCATTGCTATTGATACTCCGTCAACTATAATCAAGTATGAAAGGGAGGAAAGATATAATGAAGATGATTAAGATATTTTAGGAAAAACATGTCATATTTATTATAGTTAACTTACTTACCTAACTTCTTTAATCTAATCAAATTAGTTAAATAGGTCTTATATTAAGAACCAGAGGAGTAATATATATGTTATGTTTGTGTTCTCTGCCTTTTTAGATTATGTATAGTTGATGCATGAATATCCATTTGTTTATGGTTAAATATCACTCTAAAAAGTTATATATTAATATTTTTGCAAGTTTTAATTAAATTATAATTTTTGTTGTTTAACTTGGAGTATCCTTAAGTTACTTTAAACTTGAAACTAATCTTTGTCGGACTATGAATGTTAAGGCCAGAGCCCCCCAATAGATACTTTTCTCAAGATTCAGATATGTGTTTTCCTCTTTATAAAAAAAAGGCTGCTTAACATTTCAACGAATAATTTGTTAGTTAAATTATAATATTTTAATTATGATGGAGTTAATATAAAAAAAAGGCTGCTTAACATTTCAACGAATAATTTGTTAGTTAAATTATAATATTTTAATTATGATGGAGTTAATTGTGATTCAACCAAAACTGACCTAGTGACCCTTATACTATTGTGTCGATCAATTCAACAACCAATCCTATTTGAAACTATCAACATCATCTTCCCAAAAAAACAACTATTAGCAACAACTCACACGATTCAAAGCGCAAGTTCGTTAGCAATCTCTTCCTCATAATTGCATAAGGAGGCATTGAATAAAGAGGCAGACGAATGCAGCAATTGAGAGTTCAAAATGATAAGAACACAGGCTAGGAGAATATCTTGTCCAAGTTTTCAATTACTCAACCCAACAAACTAATAATATTGTCCCAAAAAACGCAACAAACTAACTTTACAAATTTCAAACTGCTCATCGGGTCCTTAATGTAAAATATAATTAACTAATTTGAGTGGATTAAATATATTAGTTAAATTAACTAATATAATATGTTTTTTCTAAAATACTATACGTATCTTTCTTAATTTTCTCACTCCCTCCTTTATTTGATTATTATTAAAAAAATTATCAACAAGGTTAATTTAAAAAAATTGATAAATCTGTAAAATAAGTTTTATATATAATATTAATATCAACTCTTCAATTAAGTCTTACATTAATAATCAAAGGAGTATTTCATGGTGAACTCTCAAATTGGAACATTAAAGGGGAAAACGGGTTTAAAGTAGTTTTAAATAATACAGTATTTAAGATTAAAATAAAAATTAAATTAGTTTTTATATAAAAAAACGAATACAGTATTTATTTTGGAACGAAGTAATGGTGTGTGGTTAACAATTTGGTTTGGGCAGGAGCAGAGGTGGAGGGAGAGAGGGATTAGATGGATTGATTAGAGAATGATCAAGTCGACAGGGACCATGATTATTAGAGTGCGTGGGTCCCACCAGGGTGGAAGGGAAAGGCCTTTGTCGTTTTCTGTGGCCTTACTCTCTCACCCTCGCCGTCCGTTGATGGGCCGTCCCATCTTTAGGGCACCCCTACACCCTCCTTCTCACCCGCCCCCTACCCATCCATCCATATCCTCTCGCCTTCCTTTTGTTTTGTTTTTTTTTTTTGAGCTGAATATCCTCTCACCTTCTACTTTGTTATCTTCACTCGTCTCTCTTTGTCACCTTATAATAATAATAAAACCATTTTTAATAGCATAATATAGGGTAAAACAGATAATATTTTCGTCCCAATATTATTTATAATACATTTATTATTCTCATATTCTTTTTATGGTGCATTTTTTTTATAGTAGTATACATCCAAAACATTAATCTTGCTCATAGTTTATGAATAAAATTAGAATGCTGCGTACCTCATAGAAAGAAATATCATTAGGATGTTACATATTACCTTCGATCTTTAATATAAGACTCGTTTAATTTTTATTTTAATCCTAAATATAAAACTTTAATCCACATTGTCTCTAATATTTATGTATTTTTTTAAGATAGTCCTTCTAGTTCTAGCCAACATTTAGCAAGGATATTTTGAAAAAGACTTATTTATTGCAAATAACTAATTTAACTTATTTTTTTAATCTCTTTAAATTAGTCAATTAATTCTTATAATTAAGACAGGAGGTAGTACATGGTAAATAATATTAACACGTTGAATATAAATAAAATAATAATAATATCAAAGATTTTGATTCTACTTTGCCCTAACCATATGAAGGATTCATTGCCGAATTTTAAAAAATATATATTTTTGTATTTTCTGAAACGTATTTAAAATTTCAAAACAAAAGTTCATTAATACTTGATTGTGATTTTTGGATGGAGTTGAAAATGTAACTTTCGTATAAATAAAATCTCAGATTTCTCAACATCAGAGTTTCCATCTTACACCATCACATCTTTGGAGAAATGTAATTTATTTAATTTTCCATGTTCATTGCGATAAGTAAACCACTTTTTAATGGGTGACGTTGAATAGGACGAGTAAACGGAGACAGAAAGTAATTATATTTTATACACATCATTTTTTCAACTTGTCAGATCTTAAATATATAAAGACTAGTTGGCTAATTCAAATAAAATTAAAAAAACAAATTAAGTTAATTATTTGTAATAAATATATATTGTTTTTCTTAAAATATTC